TCGGAGGAAAGACAGCTATTGACACTCCGCTTGGTAAAAACCTTATTGGTTCTATCTGGCAGCCATCAAGAATCTACATTGATCTTGAGTTCCTCGAGACTCTCCCCGTCCGAGAGTTCATCAATGGCATGGCCGAGGTCATCAAGACTGCTGCTATTTCAAGTGAAGAGGAATTCACTGCCTTGGAAGATAACGCAGATTCAATTTTGGCTGCTGTGCGCAGCGAGCCAAAGGCTGGCCAAGGTCGCTTCGACGACATCCGGGATATCCTGAAGGCTAGAATCTTGGCATCAGCACGTCACAAGGCCTTTGTTGTCTCCGCAGATGAGCGTGAAGGCGGCCTTCGCAACCTGCTCAACTGGGGTCATTCTATTGGGCATGCCATTGAGGCGATCCTTACGCCTCAGATTCTTCACGGCGAATGTGTCGCAATCGGCATGGTGAAGGAGGCAGAGCTTGCGAGACACTTGGGCATCCTGAAGGGAGTCGCCGTTGCTCGTGTGGTAAAGTGCCTCTCGGCCTACGGCTTGCCCACTTCCATGAAAGATCCACGGGTTCGTAAGTTGACTGCTGGTAAGCACTGCTCAGTAGACCAGTTGCTGTTCAACATGGCTTTGGACAAGAAGAATGATGGTCCCAAAAAGAAGGTTGTACTCTTGTCAGCAATCGGCCGTACTCACGAGCCGAAGGCCAGTGTCGTCTCTAATGAGGATATTGGTGTCGTCCTTGCTCCCAGTATTGAGGTTCACCCCGGAGTGCCCAAGTCGCTCAATGTCACTTGCGCACCCCCCGGATCGAAGAGTATCTCAAATCGTGCCCTTGTTCTTGCTGCGCTTGGTTCTGGAACCTGCCGCATCAAGAATCTCTTGCACTCCGACGACACTGAGGTCATGCTGAATGCCCTAGAGCGACTCGGCGCGGCAACTTTCTCTTGGGAGGAGGAAGGTGAAGTTCTTGTTGTGAACGGCAAGGGCGGAAAGATCATCGCAAGTCCTACGCCTCTGTACTTGGGTAACGCCGGAACTGCCTCACGATTCCTCACCACTGTGGCTACACTCGCTACCCCCAGCAGTGTCGACTCGAGTGTCTTGACCGGCAACAACCGCATGAAGCAAAGGCCTATTGGCGACCTTGTCGACGCTCTTACCGTCAACGGTGCCGGTGTCGAGTACATGGAAAGCAAGGGATGTCTTCCTCTCAAGATCGCCGCTTCTGGAGGTTTTGCAGGAGGAAAGATCAACCTGGCCGCTAAAGTTTCCTCTCAGTACGTCTCCTCGCTGCTTATGTGCGCTCCATACGCCAAGGAGCCGGTGACGTTGAAGCTGGTCGGTGGTAAGCCCATCTCACAGCCTTATATCGACATGACGACTGCGATGATGAGATCTTTCGGCATCGACGTGAAGAAGTCTACTACCGAGGAGCACACCTACCACATCCCTCAGGCTCACTACGTGAACCCTGCTGAATATGTTGTGGAGAGCGACGCAAGCTCTGCGACCTATCCTTTGGCCATTGCTGCCCTCACTGGCACGACTTGTACTATCCCTAACATTGGTTCCAAGTCCCTTCAGGGCGATGCTCGTTTCGCAGTGGATGTTCTAAGGCCTATGGGCTGCTCCGTTTTACAGACCGATACTTCCACCACTGTTACTGGGCCTACTGATGGCGTTTTGCAGCCGCTGCCTAATGTGGATATGGAGCCCATGACAGATGCCTTCCTTACTGCCTCCGTTCTCGCGGCCGTTGCCCGGGGCAAGGGCTCAAACCACACAACTCGTATCTACGGTATCGCAAATCAGCGTGTCAAGGAATGTAACCGTATCAAGGCTATGAAAGATGAATTGGCCAAATTCGGCGTGGTGTGCCGTGAGCATGACGACGGGCTTGAGATCGACGGTATTGATCGTTCCACCCTTCGCCAGCCATCCGGTGGTATTTTCTGTTACGATGACCACCGTGTCGCGTTCAGTTTCAGTGTGTTGTCTCTTGTCGCTCCCCAGTCCACCCTTATTCTAGAGAAAGAATGCGTTGGTAAGACCTGGCCTGGCTGGTGGGACACCTTGAAGCAAATGTTCAGCGTGAACCTGACTGGAAAAGAATTGGAGGAATCCGAGCATGCTGTCTCGAGCGAAGTGGAGCGGAGCAGCGCCTCTATCTTCATCATTGGGATGCGTGGCGCTGGAAAGACCACCACTGGCAACTGGGTTTCTAAGGCTCTTGGTCGTCGGTTCATCGATCTTGATACTGAGCTTGAGACTTCCGAGGGTACGACTATCCCCGATATTATCAAGACACGCGGCTGGGAGGGATTCAGAGATGCAGAACTCGCTGTCCTTCGGCGTGTCCTTAAGGATCATCCTACTGGCTATGCCTTCGCTTGCGGCGGAGGTGTTGTTGAACTGCCGGAGGCACGAAAACTACTTACCGACTACCACAAGAGCAAGGGCAACGTGCTCCTCATCATGCGCAACATCAAGCTGGTGATGGACTTCCTCCAAGTTGATAAGACCCGCCCTGCCTACGTGGAGGATATGATGGGCGTGTGGCTACGACGTAAGCCTTGGTTCGAAAAGTGCAGCAACATCCAGTACTATAGTCAGCACTCGACCTCAACGGAGCTAGCCCTTGCCTCGGAGGACTTTACCCGCTTCATGCGGGTAGTCACTGGCCAAATAGACAGCCTTAGTCTCATCAAGAAGAAGAAGCACAGCTTCTTTGTCTCATTGACTCTGCCTGATCTCCAACCATCGGGCGATATTATCACTGAGGCTTGTGTCGGGTCTGATGCTGTCGAACTGCGGGTCGACCTGTTGAAGGACCCTTCAGTTGACGGCGATATTCCCTCGGTTGACTACGTCATGGAACAAATGTCTTTCCTTCGCCGTCGTACCACCTTGCCGCTCATCTTCACCATCCGCACCAAGAGCCAAGGTGGCCGCTTCCCCGATGATGCTCATGATGCGGCAATGGAGCTGTACCGACTAGCGTTCCGTTCTGGGTGCGAATTCGTGGATCTTGAGATCGCGTTCCCCGATGCAATGCTCCGTGCCGTTACTGAGATGAAGGGTTACTCTAAGATCATCGCCTCGCACCATGATCCCAAGGGCACTCTATCGTGGGCCAACATGTCCTGGATGCAATCCTACAACCGTGCTCTTGAGTACGGCGATATCATCAAGCTCGTCGGTGTTGCCAATACCCTTGATGATAACACTGCCCTTCGGAAGTTCAAGACACGGGCTGAAGAAGCCCACGACGTGCCGCTAATTGCGATCAACATGGGCGACAGTGGCCAGCTCAGCCGTATCCTGAACGGCTTCATGACCCCTGTGTCTCACCCCAGCCTTCCTTTCAAGGCGGCACCTGGTCAGCTGTCCGCTGCAGAGATTCGTCGTGGTCTTTCCCTGATGGGTGAGATCAAGGCCAAGAAGTTCGCTATCTGCGGTTTCCCTGTCTCCGGCTCGCGGTCTCCCGCTCTTCACAATACCCTCTTCGCCAAAATGGGTCTACCCCACGAGTACTCTCGTCTGGAGACTGCCAACGTCGAAGACCTCAAGGAGTTCATCCGCGCCCCTGACTTCGGTGGCGCCTCGGTGACAATCCCCCTTAAATTGGATATCATGCCCCTGCTCGACGAAGTCGCTCAGGAAGCTGAAATTATCGGCGCCGTCAACACCATTGTGCCCGTCCCCAACGGCGACAAGCCCCCTCGTCTGATTGGTTACAACACCGATTGGCAAGGTATGATCCGATGCATGCGGAATACAGGAATTTACGGTTCCAGCGGCAACGAGAGTGCTGTTGTCATCGGCGGCGGTGGTACTGCCCGCGCTGCCATCTTCGCCCTCCACCACATGCACTTCTCCCCAATCTACGTGGTGGGCCGTGACGCCAGCAAGCTCGAGGGTATGGTCTCGACCTTCCCGACCACCTACAACATCCGCGTTGTAGACAACCAGGCCCAGCTTGACACCGTTCCCCGGGTCGCTATTGGCACGATCCCCGCCGACCGTCCCATCGACCCTGCCATGCGCGAGACGCTCTGCCACATGTTCGAGCGCGCTCAGGAGGTCGATGGCACTCTCATCGGCAAGTCTCCCGACGCTGGCAAGCACCGTGTTCTTCTTGAGATGGCCTACAAGCCTACTGTCACCGCCTTGATGCAGCTGGCATCTGATGCGGGTTGGAGTACCATCCCTGGACTGGAGGCTCTTGTTGGACAGGGTGTGCACCAGTTTGTTCACTGGACCGGTATCACTCCTTTGTACCATGAGGCAAGAGTAAGCAAACACCTTGATATACCCATACTCTCTAGCTCCGTTACTAACATTCACTGTCTTGATTTAGGATGCCGTCATGGGTACTGCTGAATGATCATGAACGCATCCTGAATGTCTCGGGATTTTCTCTCCATCTTCCATATTTGACGCCATACCATGTTCCAATGTACTAGCGGTGGGTGTCGGGTTACTAAAAGCATTCAACAAAATTTGTCCTGGCTTACATCTTGTTTTTCGTGTTCATACAGTAGCTCTCATTTACATATTCCATTTGATTGTATCATACTCCATATTACGCTTTGTGTAGAGAAGGCAAGATGGAAAGACACCATGGAGAGAGGAAGGAAGATCAACTAGGTGAGCAGTGAAAGAACATCTGTAGATATATTGTTGTCATTCATGGCATCTTAGAGACAGGATCAGTCCTTGTTTTGATCTCAACTGCGTGGTAGGTTGGCTATTCACCATCCTAAGTGCACTACATAGGCGCTTGCTCTCTGTCTTGATATGCACACGTCCATACCTTCCTCGACACTTGTCTTCTCTTCTAAGGTCATCTCTCCCTTTTTAACCTTCTTATTCTCTTTCGTATCTTATTCCCTTCTTCCATCAACCATCTATTTTCTCCCCTGGTTTCCACCCCTTGTCTTACCGAGCTGTAAGCTCATCCGCCTTTCCACCTTTCGAGAAACTTCTCTAAAACAACACTTCTGATGCACAATGAGTGACAGCGAAGCTCAAGCCACAGGTGCACCTGGCACAAAAACTAACCCAGGCGCACGAAACAAGCGCGACTGGGATGAAGCTTGTTTGGAGAACCCTGCCGATGAGGATCAGCCAACCCATCTGCCCGAGCTAGGCACTTTCGGCATATTCTGTCCCCTCGCACCTCTTAAAGACAGAGGCGGTTTTGACGAATGGTTTACTGCTGTCGAGCAATGTCTCCGTCCTACCAGCCTCTCTGAGTTCAACGGCCCAGAGGAATTCATCAACACCTTGGCATATCGCTACAAAGTGAACAGAGAACTCCAGGGAAACATCCCCCCATACACCGCGCTTATCATGATGTTTCGGGAGCTGCAGTATCTGCCTCGATTCGATACAATCAATATCTGGAACAATGAGCTCTGTCTACTCAAGGACCCAGCTACAACTATCACATATGGCGACTTTCTTGTGTACAGCTCTGCGATGCAGACTGAGGCCCGATGCCAGGCTACACCAGTTTTTGTCTTACATGGAGGCTGGCACATCCTCAACCCACAGATCTATTTGATGTTTTAGCTGAGAATCCCTATTTGCACACCTGTTTAAACTATGTACTTCGGGTATAGCGCCATTTGAGTGACATTTATCGCTTGTGTAATTCATGATGGTTCCTGTAATATCATTAATAGCATAAGGCTATTATTCCATAGCTTTGGAATACTTATGCAGCGGTTGAGTATGGTACATATCGAACTGCCACCTTTCTTCTGTTCACCCACTATTTGCTCATCTCTGCCTCATTCCCCCAGCCCTTTCATCACAGCCCCTCCATCAGCCACTCGTCGTATAAGAGTTTCAAAGCCGTCGCCCAGTCCTCGGGGTTTCACTGCAAGGCCATCCGAAGCCACCACAAGAACCAGAACCCTTCTCTGTCTTTCCCTTCAACCTTCTCAGCAAGCCTCTCAAAAATGATGTCTGGAATTGGGACTACTTCCTTCCAATTGCCTGACTCATCCCAGTAGACCGAACTGAGGTGTCTCTGTTCCCGGAATTCAGGTGGCGGAGGGCCTAGCAAGGCAACCAGTTCCGCCATATGAACTCGGTCATCAAAGACGCCATCTGGATTTTTGCCACTGATAAGGGTGCGAGGGCTAACAATGTCCCAGGCCTAAATATAAAATTTTAGCATTTTCTCGTTAAAAAGGTTAGAATATTCCACTCACGACCATGACAACATTCCATATATCCACCTAATAACCCCAGTTCGATCTCAACATCACTTCAGGAGCTCTATAAGCGTTTGGCATGATATCATCACTATGTCCTTCGTCGCCCAATCCTTCCCCAAAATCAGCGAGGATCGGCAGCCCACCTTTTGGAAGGAAACCTAAGCTCTTGTAGATTGTTCGGTTTTTGAGCATTTTTCTAGGTGATGGATCTGCAACTTCAGCTTCCTCGAATCGGGTAAGAACGCTTGTCTCCGGTCCAGGAAGTAGTAAGTTCTTCAGCTGAATATCTGTAACAGTGTTAGGCCTATGATATGAAGTCGTCAGGCGGATTGATCATTACCAGTATTGATGATATGGCACTCCGAGTGCAAGAAGTCTAATGCGATAAGTAGCTGTCGGATACCGGGCTTCATCTCATCAAGGCTCATTTTGTGCCCGGAGAACATCTTCACTAGAATATCTGTACTCGTTCCGAGAGGCTCGTGAACAAAACAGATATGACGGCCATGAGGACCCTGTATATAGAAATGGTCGATAAGTTTGCGAACGAAGTTTCTGCCAGGATGGTTTGTTTCCACCAGGTTCATGTGCTCGTAGATGTGCAGCTCTCGCTCGCAGGCCTGGTTTTAGCCTGTTACGTAAACCTTTAGAACAACATATATTGATGCACTGGTTCAAGGAATGCTATCAGAACCATATCATCTGGTTGGGCTGAAGCGAACCCACCACACCTACAGCAAGCCAAACTGTAGAGGTTACTCCGTATCCTATTTTGGCAATTGTTTGATACCGACCATTGAATACTTCGCCCTGGTTGACGGGATAATAATTCTCCGGTTGATAATCCGACAGTGTCTCTTCCTCAAGCTCGATGGATTGGTCAAGCAATTCGAGTCCCGAGGTAGGGAACACTTTCGGGGTGCATGTCCACTGCGGCGGCGACATAATTGTTCGATGCGACACAACTATGGCTCTCGGACTAGACCGTCGGGGAATTCGGTAACAAGGAATGGAGGGTAGAGACGTAGTGAAACCCCGATGGGCGGCAATAGTCCAGGCGTTTCGCACGGCTCGCATCATGATGTTGAGTGCAGAGAAAGACTTGGGCAGGTTCGACGCGTAGGTAAATGCGGTAACGCAAAGATTCATTCATAGGCATGCAAGTAATCTACCAGGAGGCCATGTTCTGTATTAAGGGGGTTACGACGGTGTAGTTATAGCGCGTAAGGTCGCATGCCTGCATTTAATGCCTGAATGCCTGGTTTTTGCCTGATCTTAGACCCCCGTTGACAACTAGAATACGAGGACCAGTGGGATTGACACCGACAATGACTGCTTTAAAGGTCAGAAACGGCTGTATAGCGAGCACAGGCAAGGATCGCTATGTGGAAGCGAAATCAGCCTACAGGCTTGTTTCAACCGCTAAACCCCCGAAGGAACAGTGAGATCTAGTCCATACTGCAAGGCCACCTGCGATACTCGGCAATGATCTGCGACCAGGTCTCTTAAGGCGTGCCTCTCACTACAAAAGGCAGCCATGATAGCAATACATTTATTCATCTATCATCATCCCCTGTGATACCTACTCCCTCCTTCGAAGAAGAATCATGGGGTCCGAGAAGAAACCCGAATGGTATCAGCAGGAGGTCCAGAGCATCAACCCCGAGGCCCAGAGGCTGTTAGAAAGCTACAGCGGCTTCCATCCGGACGAAATCCTCCCGCACGTCTTGAAGCTCGTACGCGGCAACTTGCTTTTCCCTTGTTTTTTTTTTTTTTTTTGAGTCTCTCAAATAGCTAACAATCATTAATATCTCCAATCCGTAGCGCGACGAAGCCTACTCAATCTTCCACTATCCATGTATCGGCCAGTTACGCTTCCTCACCTTCCAGCTACCCCACCATCCAGTCTACCAGCGCATACTGGCCCGTCTCCGCGACGATCCAACCGCCGGAATCCTCGAGGCCGGCTGCTGTTTCGGTCAGGAGATCCGTTTCCTTGCCGACCAGGGCATCCCGGGCGAGCAGCTCTACGGATGTGATATAGAGCAACCGTTTATCGATCTCGGATACCAGCTCTTCCGCGATCGAGACCGTCTCAACGCCACTTTCGCCGTGGGAGACCTGAGCTCGCCCGACTGTCTGGACCACGCGAGCCCGATTTTCCAGAAGTTAGCCGGGAAAATCGACGTCGTCTTTGCGAGCTCGCTCTTCCACCTGTGGGACTATGACCAGCAGGTCCGCGTCGCGACGCATATGGTCCGTCTCTGTCGCCGTCGACCCAGCTTGATGATCGTCGCGCGTCAGTTAGGGAATACGCTGGGCGGATCCTATGCGATGAAAGACGTCGCGGCAGGTTCTAACTACCGACATAATGTCGAGACGATCAAGGGCTTCTGGTACGATGTGGGTCAGGCGACGGGGACGCGATGGAGCGTCGAGGCGGGGCTATATATCGGCGAGGAACTGGCCAAGGTCAAGAATGCCGCGTGGGCAAATGAGAACGATCGCATGCTTTGGTTCTGCGCGACACTACAATAGAGAAACACAATATAGGTATATGGATGGCAATGACTCAGAACCGGGAAATTGATATTGAATTTTTGAGAAATGAAAATTTTTGAGCTGTATCCTGTGCAAAATGGAATGTAGCGTTTTTTAGACCGGCATTATCTTCCGGTCTGTCTGTATGTAGACCCAACCTTCAATCAAGCCTTCCCTCGGCCTTCACCTCTGACCGGGGAGAGATGGTCAACCACACGTCTCTCCAGTAGCTAATACCACCTTTGGTCATGAGCTTAGCCTCGGGCTTACCCTTTACAGTCTCCGGCTTGTATTGACGGAAGAACTAGACGATAAATCAGCACTCGCCCCAGGATAGCACGTAGCACAGCCGGAAAAAGACTCACCTGCAAAGGACCCTTGAACAACTCCATCATAGCAATATCCCTCCCTAAACAAACACGCGACCCATACCCGAACGAAAAGTTATACTTATTATACAACTTCGCCTTCTCAGCATCCAACCACCTCTCCGGCTTAAACTCCTCGGCATCATCCCCATAAAGCCTCGGATCCCGATGCACCAGGTACGGGTTACAGGTAACCTCCGTGCCCGCCGGTGCAAAGCGACCATAAAGATCGAGCCCCGGCTCAGGGACATAGCGGGGGAAGATATTCGGCGCAGACGGACACAGACGCATAGTCTCCTTCACACAGCCAACATAGAAAGGCAGGTGCTCCAGGACCTCATTGTACTGTGGCATATCGGAGATGAGACCCTTGCGGGCGGAGTTATCGATTTCCGCCATCATACGCTCGTACGCCTGCGGGTGGGTCATGAGAAACTGCACCATGGCCTGGAAGGCGGTGCCGGTTGTGTCAGCGCCAGCGAGCAGGACTAGCAGGACCTCGGCGCGGATGTACTCCAGATCGAGGGGCTTTCCGTCTTCTGTGAGAGCATCGAGGAAAGTCTGGAGCAGGTCTGTGCGGTCGGTTTTCTTGCCGTTTTCGATCTCCTTGATGCGCTGGTCGATGAGCCGGTCGCGGAAACGCATTAGCACGCCGATGCCGGAGTTGTCTTCTGGTTTGGCTACGAGGTACTTTTTCAAGAAGGTGGTTTTTACCCATGAGGTGAAGGGGTGCAGGCGGGCTAGGAGACCGAAGGCTGGGAGGCCGTCGTGGAAGCCTTGGATTAGGCCGCCGATGTCTTCGCCTTTTTCGATGAAGCCGAAGGGCTCGCCGAAGCCAATTTCGCTGATGATGTCGTAGGCCATGTAGCTGGTTGTTTTGTTAGTCGGAGCATTGTTTCATTTGGCGCGTGCGCTGCTTACACTGCCCACCAGGCGAAGTCGAAGGCTTCGCCGCTCTTCGCGAACTTTTCGTTGAGCCTGGTGGTCCATTCGGTGATGCGCACATCAACCAGTGGCTCCATTTGTTTGATGTTGCTGAAACTGTACTATTTTGAGGGTCATTTTTTGATATCTGCAATTGAACTCGCATATCGTCATACCGGTCCGGCAACGTGCTTTCTGAACACGGCATGGGTCTTATGAGACCTCATGTTGAACAGAGACTCGGTCTCACCAAAGCTTCCGGTAATGTAGTGTCCGGTCTTGTCTGCATTGCGGTGGTAGACTTCCGGGAGCTTTTCATGATCGCTGACCAGCAACAATGTTGGGGTGATCCGAACAACAGGGCCTAATATGTCCACTTGTTAGAAAGCCATTTCTTTCGGATATATAATCAAGACCAACCATATTTCTTAGCAAGTGCATAAACAGTTGGTACCTCGGTCTCCTGCAGATTATGCCATGCGATCCAGAGACGAGTTACAGAGCCCCAGAAAGGACCGGGGAATTTCGCGAGCGGACTAAAGAAGCGATAGTAAATAACTTGCCAGGCAAACTTGAGCGTGACATAGGCCACAAGACTCAAAATGACATTGGTCACCGTCACCAGTGACAGGACATTTTCTGCAAGACCCATGACGGATTAGGGATGCAGATGCATGGAGGACGAAGACCTGAGTAATCCCTCCGGAAATGAAGGACCGCGGATGAATATTCGCACTAAACAGCATATTCGTTGTAGTAGTAAGGGCCCAAAGGTCATTGGCCAAGGCTATGTCGAGCTAACAACACCTGACGATGCTGGTATTTGCCTGGAATCAAGCCTAGACCAAACCTGGGCTCAACGGTTGGAATATCCTCGGCGTGTGACAGCTCGTGCATCTGGCCCCCTTGGTGCTAGTCCTTGCGCTAAGGGCATCGGTAAATCGTCGAAGGATTGCGACTCCGCTTGCTAAGGAATCGCGTCTTTGGGCTGATCCACTGTTGCGGTTATTCCTGGAAAACACACATCCCGTCGTGATGTGCCTAGTAGCCTAGAATAGTAAAGATATTCTGAATATGGAGAAAGACGTTGCCAACTGTCAAGGGGCCGTGCGGGTTCGGTGCGCGCCGTTCAGAGGCGCCGTTGCCCACGAACATAAAACAACCAGCGCAGGGGATTAGTTGCTCGGCAGTTTCTCACCGGGTGTGAGTCAAAGCCTTTCAAGGTTCTCTAGGGTCATTTGCACTGGGCCAGACCGGAATGACGGAGTACATCGCACTAAGGTGGAGCGGGAGGCTGGCGTTCTCCACTACAGATAGCCAGTGTTTCTCACTGGTCTCTGTCCTCATATGGAGTCGACTAAATAAAGTTGCAGATGATGGCTCTCGTGCGAAATTTTCCTCAACCCGGATTACAACAATCGTGGCAGGAAATCGGAATATCTCGGCTGTCACGATAATTCTAATAAATTCCAGAAGTAGGTATCTTTTGTAGGGAATTCCATACAAAAGTCACAAAGGATTCGAACCACAACTACACAAAGTAAAAGATCGTGCCATATAATCTATATGTATAGTGTTTTTCCATGAACGGTCCAATCGGAGTATGTTCCATTATTTTTGAGTTAGTTGAGTGTTGGGGAAATCGATATCGTAGCTTTTCTATGGTTGTACCTTTTGTATGCAGATGCCATACAAAAGGTACCTAGTTTCAACATTTAGAGATGAGGGAATTAATATCGTTGACTAGTCAGGGCACCAACGCGGTAGGAGACTCGGAACGAGTTAGACTCCGACTTTTGATTCTCCACTGGTTTCCCAAAAAGGGGAAAAGATAAAATAGGTTTATTGTATGAGACAGACCAAGCCCTAGTGATCAACTATTTGCTAAAGCGGATAATTTCTATGGTTGCACGGAGTATACGGAGTATCGTGCTTCTTAATCCTGTTGGCTTGGAAGCACTTCTAGTAGGATAAAAAATTGCTAGTCGATCTCTAAGAATATTTGCGAAAAGGCTCTTGATATGTACAACATAGGATATGTACGCAGTAACTATTAAAGTTCCATTTCCTCACACTTTGTACCTTGAAGAATGTGCAGTGTAGGTTTTTGATGTCATATGAGATGCACCGATGCTTCACATTCTAGTTAACTAGTTAACCTAGCCAATCTCGCTTAATAAGAAGTTATTAAACGACCCACTTTCCGCTCAGAACGGGCTCGGAAGGCAACTGGAGTCGTCCAGATCGAGGTGAGGCTTCAAACTATGGGCCATCCATCGTCCGTTACTCCGTCATATTCCGTAATTAGGCGCATAGACAAGAGCTCCCCGGGTTCTGGATCGTTTAGATCGGTGAGCTCCTCCTCTACATTATTAATATCTGGGAGGATTCGTCTAAATTTTTAAGCAATGTTCCGCTGGGTTTGCTATGTTCTAGTTGCTTTTGTCCGTCGGAATTAGGGTTATCGGGACTATACAAGCACAATATCACTCCGTATAACGTATTCACTCTAGGACATACTAGTTACTATTTAATATTAGTATCAAGATATTGATCAGCATCGAACATCTCGATCGCATGAGAACAAAAATAAATCAGATCTCTCCACCTCGGCGGGAACTCACGGACTCTCGTTTTCTATTCTTCCATGTTTTTCCTGCTTCCTTATTGGCTATAAGGATTTTCTACTTGGTGAACTTTCCAATAATTAGAAAATGATAATAATCGTCTTCGAGACAAATGTGTCGACCCACGATACTTGTTCGAGCCAATCCAACTCGATCAGGTGTATGTCTTTACTGCCTATACACAATGACTCATTGTCCCGGAACAAAGGTTCCTATAAACGATTGCTGCTTCATTTGTCAAAGCATGATTCAGTTGCACCTACAACTAGAGATATCTGAGTGACAAATCATAGCGCTAGAAAACCCACCTTAGGGCTCTTCCTGTTTTTCGTAAGTGGCTTGAGACTGGGAGCCTACCCATAAATGGCATGCGTATTTTAGCCCGAATAGGTCGATGAATGTCTTTAGTTGTGGGGATAGTCTGTCTCGTGTGGCTTCAGAAGTGTTACGATGTTTTCTTCTTTTGTGGCTTTTTTTATGGTATACAGTGGATCTCCAAGGCTACTAGATCCATGCAGGATTCACATCCGTAGTGTGCGCAGACTTTTATTCAAACTAGTACCAGGGGCATTAGGGATAAATATGTGTAGTATAGCCCATAAGCTGGGGTACCGCTAATCATTCATTCTTTTTTTTTCGTTTATGCTTACACTAATCATTTGATCATTCGTTCTCGATGGGATATGTGAAACAACTATCTATACTATTCATCTAGTCTAATTCCTTCTTTACGTCAACTCACGGTCTTTTCTCTCTCTTTTTATTTCTGCTTGTATCATCCATATTCCTCGCCATGGCTGGTGCCAATGGTTCTCAAGGCCCTATGGTCGTGGGCGTCTGTGTGGCCTTTGCCACCTTGACCTTCGTTGTGTTGGCTCTTCGTCTCTTCGCACGCCTTTATGTCTTGGGCCAAATGGGCGTTGACGACTGTAGGTAGATTATGCTTGATCTATTTTACCAACACCATACTGACATCTTCCAGACCTCATTATTTGCGCTTGTGTAAGAGACATTGACATTGTCATTACAATATCATACTAATGGAAATAGGCGTTGTCATGGGCATTTATAGCTGTCGTAATCATCGGTATGTTCTAGCTTTTCCTACGACTTTTTGCAGCAACTAATACCAATTAGCGGTCAAACATGGACTTGGAAAACATTTTGCGGATGTCGACCAGACCAAGATCGTCGACTATTCTTTTGTAAGGATGCGTATCCCGAAATTGTACAGCATTGCATTTCTAACCTTCCCCAGGCTGTCTGGCTGAGCTCAATGTTCTATCTCGCAACACTTGGATTCGTCAAAACCTCCGTCCTGTGGTTCTATACTCGCCTCGGAGATCGCTATCTCACTCGCCTATCCTGGGTTATGATGGGAGTAATCGCAGCACAAGCCATCTCATTCGTTCTCGTGGCTGCATTCCAATGTCGACCCATTAGCATGGCCTGGACTGGAACTGGAACTGGAAAATGCGTCAACATCAACATTTTCTATCTATGCAACGCCGCCTTGAACATCGTCACCGATCTCATGACTTATACCTTGCCCGTCAAGGTAATCTTCCATCTCCAGATGCCTCAGAAACAGAAGTTTGTCCTGGCATTTATCCTCTGTCTTGGTCTTTTGTAAGTCTACCCAAGTACCTCCGCCTAGATGCTTGCTAACGGATTAATCTACAGCGCTTGCATCTCCTCGATCATTCGAATTACCTACATTCCTGCCATGCTTAGCTCGAAGGACTCCACCTACGTCATCAGCGGTTCCATGTATTGGTCTGTTATCGAAACCAACGTCGGCATATTCGCTGCCTCAATCCCGTCATTCAAGGCGATTGCATCCCACTTCGTGCCTCGCTTCATCGGCGAATACAGCAGTGGGAATAAGTATAACCCATGGTCAAGCAACAACACTTCTCCGTGGTATGCATCTAGATTCTCCAAGGCCAGGGATCCCAACAGCCTCACTATGTTCACGGTCGACAGCAAGGACGATGATCCCATGGGTAACAACATTGGCGGGGCCAACTCCAGCAAGGAGCGTATTATCCCCAAAAACAGGATCTTTACTCACACGAAGATCGAAACTACCTTTGAAATAAATGATAGTGGAAGGGAAAGCTCGGCATCGCTCGAGCGAACTGGTTAATGATGTCGGATTTATGCTTACGAGTTCAAAAGTTGGCGTACAAAATTTTATTTGTGACATTTAGGCAATTCATTTCATTTCATATATTGTAATGCATGTTCCAAAGGACATATATATCTTATTCTGTGTAAATGGCTATGTAAATGACTGTATAAGCCGATCTATCGTAGTGAGTTTTTGCCTGATGCTCCACCTGGGCCTGAAGAAACCAACATAATCCAATGTATGCAAGTCGCTGAATGTTGGAGTTTGACCAACCAAAGAGTTTCCAAAATCGCACAATTCAAAATACCAACTCCGCAACCAAATGATCACCTCTTATCCTTCAATCACATGTATGCAATTGTCTCGCCCTCGTCTCACCTCCACATGCGGAAAGCCGCCACCCCAACACCAAACACAGCAAATATGCAAGCCCAGTGCGCAAGACCCCTCCGTAAATGATGATTAATAGACCTCTCAATAGCCTCGGAATCATTGATACGGGGAAACGGCACCCCAACTGGAACCTCCAAACTCAGAGCCTCGCACAACGGCCCCCATCCATCCTTAACATCAAAGAAAACCAACCTATCCGCAGGCACGACCTCCTTCAGCCAAGCAATATGGCTCGCATAAGTCTCCCGACCATGCTGACCAGCAACACCACCATAAAGCCTCTCCCACAGCGCCGCCAGCAAATACCCATACGGGATGAAATGTCTCAACCCGTCCAGCGGGAGCAGGACAGCACGCGCAAACCAAACGCCAGTCAAACTCTGCACGTGGAGCATACTCTTCTCCCATGAGACGGGGTCGCGGGTGGTGCAGACGACCTTGGCATCCGGGTACAGCTCCATGAGTTCCGGGACGAGCTCGGAGCCTGGGGAGTCGGTGATGGCGACGTAGCCGGCCAATTGGTGGCGCAGGAGGGTGAGCATATTTTCCCGCCTTGCGCTGTCGTCTTTTTTGAGCCAGTTTTGCAGAATTGGCATCCAGCTTTTTATCTCTCCAGGTGGGCCTTTCGATATTTGCGTGCCGCAGTGGTACACCGGTCCGTTTAGGAGGATTTCTAGCGCTTCGCTGAATGATGAGGTCCCGGTGCGTGGTAGCCCGGCGCCGATGACTTGAATTTGCGCGCCCGGTTGTGGGACGGAGGCCTTTTGGCCCATTTTGTCTGTATAGGGTGGTTTGTTGGGTTGGGTTGGTGTGGGCTTGTGGTTCGTTTCAGGTTGGCTGAGTGACCCTCTTTTTTTTCCTTCTTTTCTTTTTTCCCCGACACTGGCTAATTTGCTTGTTTGGGGATGTTCGGGGTTATGAAGGCAGAGAGTCTTATTTATGCTGGGGAAATCAACAGGATTGGAGTTGATTTATGTTTCTTTGATGGATATAAATGCCAGATAGGAGACTCCCGCTCTTTGGCCCCCACTTTGGAGTTCCGCTCCCCCAGGATGATCGGCGATGGGTTGAAGTCTTTAAATTATAACTTTGAGTCGAGGATATGAAGCCCAGAGTGTAACACTATATGCGTTGATTGTAGGAGCACGTAAATCAAGCACTTCCACTGTGTCTGAGTGTCGTGTAGAGCTGGTGATGTCGGTGATGGCCTGAGGCAGCGGGAAGTTGCACCACAGCATGAAACTCTTGTGTTTGAGAATAATGAATTGTGTGATCGAGATAGGCCTGCTTGTACTCGATCAAAACGAGAGTACCCAATTAAACAGAGTAAGTTGGCATGGGGACCAATATGTAGGGCTATTACCAAACTTGGGAAAATATTGGGACTGTTTTCTACCAGTAATTTAGAGGATATCGCAATACCTCTGCTGATATGAAGTTTGAATAGTTGGGGTTTTAATGCGATTCATGAAACAATTACAAAAGTACATCTAGATACCAACAAGGTAAGAGGTGATATATATCCAGCACATCCTCCATATAAAGGTTTAATTATTTAGGAGAGACTTGAAGAAAGCTATACAAAGTCCAAAAGAAGACATGCAAGCAATGGCTTGAGCTACAGTCAATGTAGAATCCTATATGATACCGCAAATTTACCGTGAAAGCGAAGAACGCAAAAAAAAAAAAAAGATAGACATAGCATGTCCTGGTTTCGATCCAGGGTCCTATTGTGAGTTAGTTTGATGTTTATGAGTCAAATGGGTTCGGTGAAACGTACCTCCGGGTTATGAGCCCGGCGCTCTTCCCCTGAGCTAACATGCTCATGGGATGTAATCCAGCACCCGCGAAAATCATATATCCCTACTTTGAGATATAAAAATAATAAATAATGTTTACGAAAGGTGAATAACCTGTGTAAGTCTAATTGAGTAGTAAGAATTATCTACAGAGTACTAGTCAATATATTCTAAAAGTGAAGCTAGTACCCCATAAATTATTAGATGATGAGGTACTTTTGTATAACATATGTACTAGTAGCTACTATATATAGAACTCGAAATTCTCGAAAACATGATACATATTTTACCCAAGGCATATATCTTCCACCAATCAGCATGTTAGCTCAGGGGAAGAGCGCCGGGCTCATAACCCGGAGGTACGTTTCACCGAACCCAATTTGACTCATAAACATCAAACTAACTCACAATAGGACCCTGGATCGAAACCAGGACATGCTATGTCTATCTTTTTTTTTCTCGTATCTTTTTTATTAGTGCGCTGCTTCAAATCTGTACTTTTTTCGCGCCAAGAAACTCCACTGAATTGCACGTGTCATGGAGATTCCTTCTTTGATGTTCTAACTCTACATACTCAACGTCACTTGCCTCATCAAGTCATTGTTATCAGCTATATAAGTTAGTCTGACTGGTTAATTTCTGCAACATGGGATCTCTTGGGGAAACAACGGACGATATAAAGGGATATCCTACACTGACTTTGAAATACCAAAATTGGATCCGACTAAGAATCCGTTGGCTCTTCGCAACTTTTCTGAACTCTGAAAATTATAGTTTTAGAATATCAAGTGTACCTATTTCTTCCTATAATATCACTATTTGGTCTATTCAAAGACCCAGTAACAAACCAGCGTCTCTTGAATCTCTGGCTTTCTTCTGCAGAATAGCCTTCCAGAGTGTCCACGAGTGTGTTCATTTTTCGTAAATTGCACTCTCCAGCCGCCTTTAGCCAGCAATGAAAACCTCCATGGCTATCTTGACTGCGGATAGAAACCCCCAAGCGGGTAGCAGGATCTGTTTTCAATGCCGAAAGAGAATAAGCGTGTGGGTGTGGAGTCGGGGTTAGATGATGTTGGAGAATAACTTCGTCACCGTCATGGAGATCAAGCCCAAGTGTTTATGAAACAGTGAACCTGAAACTACCAGCTCTAACCTCAGTTTGATGGTTTCCATGATTTCCGGAATGCAATGTAACGAGAGCTTTGGCCCCTTCGAGGTACTGCTTAGCCATGCTAGCTTTCTTTTTACCCCAGGTGTCCTGTGCCTTAAGGATACGCTCTTTGTGAAGATCCCACCAGTAATTTCTGATCCCGGGGTCAGGTGAGTTTCGTATGTCGTTGAACGCATCCCTGGTTTGTTCCGCCCATGCCCGAATAACTGAATCCTCAGATGTAAGGTATTGTTGAAAGGTTGATCTGCCGCCAATTGCGTCGGTGATATCTTTGTTCTCTTGAGTATCAGTGAATCCTTGCCATAATGGCAATGCAACATTGAGATGATTACCCGACCATATAGCGTTTGTGCTTTTCGGCAACCAGGAGCCTAGGTGAAGGGAAGTCAGTGTTTGGAATTTTAGGCACATCCACATCTCTGCTAGGTTGAGAACTAGCTGCGTTTTAGTGGAAAATGGGGCGTCGAGAATAGCCAAAGTGACAAAGGCTGATTTCATATCCACGGCAGAGTCCCACACTGCGTAGTGTAGACCTCTATTCTTCCAGCGATGTCTAGGGTCTTTATGTTTCCGGATCCTCAAGACACAGCACACATGCTTGTCCGACGTAAAGCCAAAACCGTTTCGTCGTTTCATCCTCTCTCCATAGAATATGAAGATATACACCAGCTTCTTTTTTCGTTTCTGTATCCTGTCCAATTTCCAAGAGACTATGAAGGTTTTATTAGCAACTTTTCTCTGCATTTCGAGGTCAAACTTGCCTGATCAGGTCGAATTTGCCCTTTTCACAAATATTCTTCACGACTGGGCTCAGACTGTCTTCGAGTATTCTAGCAATATCGAACTCCTCTAGCACAGAGGAGTACCTTTCGCTCATTTCGAGGCGAACATTTGAAATCAAATGCTCTAGGATGGAGGTCCGATCAACGGGTCCTAGGTTCAAAGTCTTATTTAGAATGCCGGCCACCTCAGTCCAGTTTCGTCGTTTGGCATTTGGAATTTCATTGGGTGGTGATCTTTGTGGCGAGCGGTCCTTTTTCGATGCATAGCGCTTTGGGCGAATCCTGAGACGGGATCTTTTCAGTCAGCACCGTAATGAAGAGTAGGCGTTAGAATAACAGCGCACATACCTTACTATGATCGTCAATAAAATCAAGATCATTCATCGGCGTCACGTTTGTAGGGCGTGAGCATCTCAGATACCCTCCACTTCGTCCCCCATGGGATTTCCCTCTGCAGTAAATGGCAGTATGACCAAAACTCCCACATCGATTACAAAATCTGCAGAGACATTCGTCATATCCCTCCATTAGGCACCTGCAATATCTGTATCCCGTAGACATTTCAAGGTCTCGAGGATCATAGGGAAACAGATCCTCAGGCCACTAGAATGAGACAGGTGGGTTAAGTTGAAGTAGGTAGAGCAAAAAACAGACGCCGCGAAAATTGGAATGATGGAGGATACGACGAGTCTGTATGTCAATAAGGGATTTGGTCAATGTAGAGAATGGTGCATCAGGACCGAGAATCAGTTGAAAAAGCAACAAGCGATCCGACATATTTCCGGATGATCAGGCAGCGATGGGGCCTGAAGGCGTCGACTCAGTGATGAGAAAATGTATTCGATAGACACAACAAGAATTGTATTAAATGACTGGGAAGGGCCAGGGAGCTGGGGTAGCTTGACGTGGACGCCAGATGCCGCAACGATTAAGGAAATAATGGGGATTTTATCAAAAAAATTCCTCCATGGGGAGATACTCAGCTCCGGATGCGAGCGAGGGATGCAGAGTCAGAGTTGTTATGATATCGTTGGAATACACCAAAGGTCGCACTGAACTGTGTAATGCTTCATACATACTTGTCTATAGCCGATCAGAGCACGTTCACGTGTAGAGTGATATAGGCGCCTTGTCTCGTATTAACATATGCAGTCGAGCATGCACATGCATGAGACAGAGCATAGGCCGTTATCTTTGAAGTCCAGGGAGAGTTGAGATAGCAATACTGCCGGGCGGTACCGAGTAATACGACTCACGTTTCACATCTCATATGACTCCCTCGATGATGCGACCACGCAAGGGATATAGTACCGGTGCATCGCAAAAGAACTAACTGAAGTCAAAATAAGCCGCCAAGCCATCTATCACACCACCGATATACGAACTCCTATGTAATAAATGAGGAACGCCGATTGTACGGCAGATTACGTTAAAAAACAGAAGTTCGTCCTCAGCCACACACCCACCATCGTTCCACCTCTCCACCTCCCCACCCCCCAATACACAACGGTATTGAAGACCCACAGCTATCAAGCCATGGACCCACCGATGTATATCACCCTGTTTATCATTTCTTGTCTATCATTTTCAGGGTGCACAACGTAAATATACCTATACGGCTTATTATTGGTATATGGTAAACGTTAAGATAGATACCCACAATTGCAGATCGATAGTTTCAAATACGTACAAAACGCTCGAATAGCTTCAATTGACATTAATGACGATAACAACCAAAGATAATGACAGCAACATTCACACCCAGTAAAAGATAGGAGATATGGCATGACACTCCCGGAGGCACATCGGTATGAAACTCCATATGCATTCAAAATACCAACTCCATCAAAAAAAGATGGGACCAGAATCCTGAAGGGGCTAGAATTGTGCTTGTGCAATTCCTGTACGTCGACACTCGAAAACCCAAACCAGAAATCCCACCAGTACCGGGTACCAGGATGGTGGTAAATCGCTTATCAGGCCAGAGTTTGGATGCGCTCGGGATTGTTCCAAGGCTTTCTGGGAACCGGCTACGCAATGGTGGGATCATACTCTTGGCCTATATGGATTACTTGCACGTCCGGCTTGTTCTAACTTCTTGTTGGCATTGAAGGTACAGTGTACAATGTACAATGTGTTGATAGGTAATGTAGGTAATTTCTATTGTTGATGCAATACGGAGAGTACGGAGCGGAGTACGGAGGACAATATATGATCAGCGCGAATCGGGACTCATCCGTAGGGGATGTTAATTAATTGCAATATACAACATGCAATGTTCAAAACTTTGCTCGTGGTGCATTGGTATTTTTGTCAACTTTAATCGGTCTACGATACACAAGATACATTCAGACAATGTACATCTATCTGCAACACATGCATAGATTGTTAAAACAGTCCCTAGTTATGGCTGGCATATGTGGGTAAACATGCAGGTTTGATGCAAGTGGGTACGAGGATTCAAGTCTATCCCTTGATTATCTCAAAGTAAGAGGGTGTTTCACGATTACAGTGGAGTGTGGAGTAGTGCGGAGGGAGTGTGGAGAGTGATATACATATGTATCATTTCCAAATTCATGTCATATCCAAGCTAATATACATTTTTTTTTAGAGGAATGTACTATAGTACAAGAGGGACACACTGTACTGGGGTCAAAATGCAGCAACACCATGTACAACAGAAATGTACAACACCAAACCCGTTTGTTTTCCCGGCCAAATGGCATAGACACAAAATAGAGGGGGAAAACACGCAAAATGAAAAAAACACACCGACCAATGCTAAAAGGGGAACCGCATGTAAACAAATCATCAACGTAAAATCGTACACATAATAAAATCGGAAGCCGCATAGTGATACAGTTCATGAGAATTAGGGAGCTGAATCGTCATGATGACGAAGCCCCGGATTTTTGGTGGAGCCCAGTGGGTCCACCATGGGTCCACCGATGACGTTCGGCATGCCGATCCGGTGACTATGACGTGGAAGGCGCTCTCAGTCTCTCCTTCTGCGCTGCTTGCCTGGCCAGTCGATCTCGGGATGAACCACTCGCATATCTGTAATTAATGTAATTAGTGTATGACCAACTTAAGGGGTGAAAGCGAAAAGGGGAAAACTTACGTCTTGTCAAAGCATCGTTTCGGCTGAAGGTCTTGTCCTCGTTACAGATGTGGCAGCGCACCTTCTGCTTTCCAGCAGTGTGAATCGTATGCTCGTGCCGTGTAAGATCGTAAGGCCGGGAGAAGATAGAATTGCATGCTTTGCCTGTAGACGGGTTGATGCGTTCGCACTTGTGCGGGCCAGCCTGGGAGTTGCGGAGCGAGGTATCGCGGCTGACAAGGTGGCCGCCCGGTGTAGTTTGTCGGTGCGCCTCGCGCTTATGTCGCTGGAGTCTAGAGGGAGAGTCGAAGCGGTCTGTGCAGTTGTGATATGTGCAAGTGTAGGTGCCCGCATCCGAAGACGTGTTGTCGGGACGAGGAATGCTCTCTGTAATGGACATATTCATTTGACTTGGAGGCGAGCTCTCGGTAGATTCCACTGCTGGGAGCGAAGGGAAATCGGTACCCTGCGGCAAGAGGTTCTGAGGGCGATGCATCTGAGGTTCAGAGAATGCGAACTGTGGCTGGGCCATGCTAGGTGTCGAATACTGAGGGAATGCTTCCATCGGTCGCATTGGGCCAGTATCGCGGCGCAAGCCAAGCGCATCACCCAGGTTGAAATCAGCCTGACCCGGAGGGAACAGAGGAGGCATGGAATCATCGTTGTCTTGGAAATCCAAAACCGCATCCTTGGGGGACATAGTCTTGATATCTCCAGTTGTGGTCTGGTCCATGTTCATTCCGTTCAACCCATTCATTGCGTTCTGTCCCATGGGGACGCTGGTGGCCATCTGGGGCTGCTGGAGAGCGTTGTTACTCATATCACCGGCGAATGGGGAAGAAGTACGGAAAGGTGAGCGATCCCGTCTGCCGCCAGGCGATTGCGAACGAGCTGACAAGTGTCCTTGGTTAGCAGCTTGAAGACGATCGGCAATGAAATTGCGCGGGTTGAGGTGATTCTGTCCCATTGGCTTGGACATCTGAGGCGCTGCCATGATGGCGGGGTTGTACAATTCGTCTTGGTAGATATCGGAAATCGTTCTGTTCAGCTTGGGGACTCCAATTGACATGGCACCATTGGCATTGTATTCTGGAGGATCGAAATGTAAGTACTGGTCCATCCATAAATCAATATCAGAAATTCGATTCTCACCATTGGTCATCGACTTGGATGCATCGTCGAGTTCATCGAGGGTAGTCTGCGGAGTCACCGGTGAATTATGGCTCATCGATGACGCCGATGGAGCCAGGGAGTAGTCGTTCTGCATTTGCTGCGGTGACTGCTTCTGTTGGTCCATGATCGCTTTTCTCATGGCAGACTCGGCCTCGGCATTGTGACCATCTTGGGAGGAGGGATCGAAACTTTGGAATGGAGTCGCAAGGAATGAGTTCTGGAGAGGGGTTTGCACCGGGGTGGGTAGCGGCTTGTTGGCGCTGTTTGAGCGGCGGTGGTAGTTGTTGGCGGGCAACCCTGCGTGAGCTGAGCGCGAGGATGCCGAGGGTGAGGATCGCTTTTGCACACCGGGGTATGGGATGCGCGCAGGGCTCAACAACTGCAGGTTGCTATCCCAACCCTGGTTACTAGCGAGCGGCTGTTGTACCAGCATGGGCGTATAATATTGCTGAGGATATTGCGACAGGTAGTGCGATGGTGAATTAGAACCCTGGATGTCGTATGACGGGTTATATGAAGACGCTGGGGTCATCGAAGGAGCCCCGAAAGACTGACAGTCAGACGTCTGCGGGTAAGAAGTCGAGAAGGTCGGAGAGGAGAAAGTAGGCGAGGGAGGTGCGGAAGATGGCGGGGAGAGCTGTACACTGGGGTGGCACTGGAACGGTGACTGCAAACGAGACTGATCGTAGTGCAAGGCGTTCTCAGAATAGAAATCCGGTGGGTATTGGTCGTCTTGTATGATGATGCCCTCAGGGTTGTATGGATCGGTGATGAGACCCTTACGTGGGTACATAAGCATTATGTTATCACGGTGTTGGGGGACGTCAGAAAGTGGGTAAGTGTTCGCCACCGGGGAAAGGCGAGCTTTTATAGAACCCGACGGCACAAGATCCGATTAAGATTTCCTGATCAATTGTGGCCGTGCTTTTGAAGAAGTCTGGTTTGGCGACTTTGGTTCAAAGCTTGAGGTAGCGAAGAGTCTGGAAACGTCGGGAGGCTGATCGAATGGTAAGAGTAGAGGGCTGGAACTTTAATAGAGACGACTATGGTTGAGGTGAGTTTGGTTCTGGAGAATGACTCGGCCGGAGGAAAAGCGAATCTTACTTGATATGATGATCTCAAGAGTCAGAATAATGATTTGGGGGGGGGGGTATGAGTAATGAAGTTGAAAGATGGGAGGAAGTTGGAGTTTAATAAAGAGCGCCTGTACTAGATGACCTCACTAGCTCGGTGACCCCGAACAAGTATTTACGGTATTGACCAATTTGGCGTGATTTTTATTATTTTATTTGTACCCAAGTGCGAGACTAGTCCGCATCGGGACTGGATTCGTATCACCACATACACCCATTTCTACCGAGTCCCACTGATCTGATCTGCTCTTTCCCTTGGTGAAGTTTGTGGCTTTCGGTATACAAAAGCCACACGGCTCCACCATACTATATTCTATGTCATTGGGCTTTTGGGTGTCAATGGGAATTGTTGGAGATCTGCATATTTAATAAGGATTACTTTTTTTTAAATTTCTGTAGGACATTTCCGGGAGTATTCAGCCAAGGTTTGCAAGACATCGCTTAGAAAAGACAGTAAAAAATCAACTAATCGGTCGCATAGTCTAGAACTAGCTCCGATTTGCACTCGGGTGACCAGGGCCATAATTTGGAAAATGGGGGTGGAGATGCCGAGGAGGAATCCCTAGGGCTGAGCCACACCTTAGTTTGTTTTGGTGTCCATTTTCGCGTAACTGAATTTTGGTTGGGAACTAACGATTCGGCCTTATGTGCTATTTCCGGTGAGTCATTACTCCTCGAATGCCCAGAAATATACAACATCGAAATGGACGGAGTGTTGTTCAGCCGAGGTCCATTCTTAGTTCCTCCGTACACTTCCAAGGTTTCTGTAAATACTAGCCACATCGAGATCAAGCCATGTGGCTGGTGTCCAATGGTTCGGTCCCAACATTCATTCCTGCACAACATCTGCAAAGCACATTCCTCTTGGTTCTTCGTACTCGGACCCAACTATTCCAAACCTCGGATAACTCAGGATTGTGGCTGCGAAATAATATTCTCCCAACTTGCGATTGTCTTACTCCGATTGTCTAGGATTGTCTCGCGATGTCTCCCCACTACCCACCAATCGGCGGATTCCGCTCGCAGTTCGACAGACGCGATAGTCAGCTGACCATCCTCCGTACATCTCATGGCATGATAAGCTGAATTTGGAAACTGGTCCATGGATCTTGTTTGTGTATAGGGACTTGATGACCAGCTGACCCCAGATCTTGAGTCACCACCGGTTATTTACTTTACTTTTAATTTACTTTGACTTTATTTTTGGGCTAAGGGCTACTCTCCATGTCTCAAATTTGTTCCCCAAGCGCTTGGCTATTGGACTAAGCTCACAGGCTCGGCGGGAAATGCCCAACCTGAGCTACACAACAATCCCATCCGGCTCTAATATATGGTCACATGGTCTCTTTACTGTGGGGTGATTGCCTTAATTTTCCGGTCTACACGGAGTACTGTCGATGATTCCATGACTCGATCACATGTGAATCATATGTTTTCCCCTTTGACTCAAAAATTGTTGCGATAAAATTAGAGTACATATTTGATTTGATCGGATCCCTCCAGGATACTCCGTGCTAAGTTGTTAGCGGGCTTTGTAGCACGCGGAACACCATGGGTAGCGTGGTATGTACGGATACTGCGGATTACATTTCGAAATTTTCTGTCTAGCGCTGTCATCTTCAACCGTGCATATGCACATGGCTTGGGCACTAAATGCCAGTGCATCAGATTGCAGATCAAGGGCCTCCGAACCGAGCAGCACCGGCAAACCCCGGGTTTCCAGCTTGGATCTCGTGTAGGCGCAAGAACAGAGGCCGCAGCAATAGTCCACCAGATGCCATGTGACCCCCCGAGGATCTCCCTTTGAAATCCACTAGCGCGAAATAAATCCGACCGGCAGGTTCCATTTTCTCGGTCTGGACGCGCGAACTCGGGTCCGGGGTCTGCCGTATTTACCGAACAGTCTGGCCCAAACCCGACTGATCTCCCTTTCCCATGTGGACAAAACCCGGAAGGTCTTGGCGGATTCCTCGAGGGTGCACCGAAACGTGGCCCCTACCGAGTCTGGGGAAGTGGCAAACCAACCTCAGCTGATCCAAATATCCAGATCCAATGGCCCACTCAGATTATAGTGGAATGTATAAGATCTGGGGATATATTATCCTTCCGAAGGCACCATGATTTACGATGTACATTAACCTCCTTCTCAATTAGGCATCGATCCTGTTCATTACCAATAGAGGGCCCCTGCATAAGACTCAAACGACCACGGAGAAAAATTTTTCACCGGCATGCAATCCCGACCATAAAACCTATGTCAGCACCTTAATCCGGGTTTCTCGGCGATGGGTCTGCGAGATTGTCATGCAGGATCATATTTAGTAACGAGCTAATGCAGCAGCGAAAAGTTTTTCAATGTAAATGATTGGATGCTGGGCTAGGGCTGCACAGCCACTTCTCGGTACTGCCGTTACGCCGTTCAAGTTTTCCGGTTATCTGTTACCGTACGGCACTTGGAGCAGCCACAATCTGCAGGTAATCGTATTCGGTATTTCTGGTATGTTCCAGAAGGAATTTTCAGTGGCTTTTGCATGCCGCTAGTGTTGCATTCGGTAAAGCGTGGTTGTTTTCGTTCTTCTGGAAGCTTTCTATTTTCGTCCCGGAATGCCGGCCTCCGGGCATCGCCGACATTGTCGGAGGACCATGCTCCTGTTTTCAGATGCAAGATTTTTTTTGCTTTGCGCGTTTTGTTATTGATGATTTAGATTTTTGGCATTTTGGATTACCAACACTGACTGATTATTCTGACTCACACCTTGGCACCTTCAAAAATCCATGACGTGTCTGTCTTAAATCCTCGAGGCTGGCCGCGTATGCTTATACTATGCGCTTCGTTACTTTGAGTCAAGAAAACTTAGAAAGAAGGCTCCAAGGAGCTTTGCTGGGAAAGGAGTCGTGGCTATGCAACTCATGACAGCAAGGAATGGCACATTCTTCACTTCGATGCCTATGTACACGTGTTATTCTAGAATTTTGGAACCTAACCACGATCTATCCCTGCATTTCGAAATGCCACATGTCTCTGATTATAATACAGAATAGTGGCTATGTCGTGTTTCTGTCTGATACTCAAACCGTATAGATTCTCTAGGATTCCATCGATTACCAAGCACCCATGAGCCACCCTCCAGGACAGGTTAGTTGCTTGTGATTGTGCTTTTGATAGACCCTTGAAATATCCCAGCTAGTTGGTGGGTAGATAAGATGTATAAGCAAGAGATTCTTTCATTTTGCAGAAGTGGCCAGCTATTGATGCATTTGGGCACATTCACTGTTACCCCAAGCAGTTTGTAGACCTCTCTTTGGCATTCCTTTTCCCTCTCTTTTTTTCCTCTCGCAGGCAGCTTGGCGTTCAGCTTGCTGCGTCGGTGGTCTCTTTACTTCGCCTGCAGAGATGCTTCTATTAGATTCTAGAGGATGAGATCTTTAGAGCTTTGTGGGATGAATCATGAAGCTATTTAAAGAACTTCAGAAGTGTGGCTAGATTATCATCTTCTATATATCTTGATTGTCACTTTCGACTTGATCATTTCTCTTCCTCCTTGCGTAGTCTGATACGTTCATCAGCAGGCCCTCTCCCACTTCTGTACTTTCTCTCTCGTCTTGGTTATGCTGAATTGAAGCACTCCCCTTGATCTGGCTCGTCATACTTCTATTTATATTTATATATGAATTACGGAACCAAATGTGGTAGGAATCACATGCTTCCATGTCCTCAATCCAACGGGGTTGTACCAAGATACAATAACGTACGGTGCAAGGAAGACATCAAGCCTGACACCGGCAAAGCATCTGACAGTCGACCAGCCTAGCTCTCGTGTATCCAAGAAAAGACCCGATCGGTGGAGAAGGAGATCGAAAACATCCAGACTCCAAGTTATAAGTTGGAAACACTCGTTGGCTATAGCAAAACGCTTCGAAGAGGTGGCGAGATGATATATTTGCAGGACAAACAACGGGTGGAGAGCAATATTGTGAGTTTAGCTACCGAACGGGATGACTTACTACTGCGTTGATATCTGACTATTGATTAGCTCCCAGAGGGCCAGAGGTTGACTATAGAGAGCACGTGGCCGGGTATATACAGAGCCATTTATAGAACATATTTATTGGCACGGCAACGACCAGTATCACTCAGTATGCAACTTTGGGTCGCAACGTGACACTCCTGGAATGTATTCGGTGCCAGTTCCCCTCGGCACTCTTGAACGCAGACTTACGCTCATCGGTATTCGGCATCGACGAGATCTGTATGCACTGCACTTCCGCGTTGTCTCTGATGACCCATCGACCCTCCGGAAGCAGAGACCTTTCTGTATCCCTGGTGACACAAGGACATGTAGTTACTGAAATTATCTGAGCCAGCAATGAGCAGGAGGCCCTCTTGGCAATGAGGCAGTAAGCTGTAAGGCATCTTTATTCCATGAATAGGGAATAGAGGGTAAACAATAGACATGTGACGTCCAGTTGCAGACACCAGAGTTCCTGTAGACGAGTTCCATTATACCGGTAGCCCTTTAAACAGAAGTTAGAACTCATCATATCTAAGTGAACAATTTCTAGGAAGATCTCCCTTGTATATCTTGGTCTATGTTGTCAAAGGTGAAATAAATTGTCAACATCCTAGCATGTTAGCTCAGGGGAAGAGCGCCGGGCTCATAACCCGGAGGTACGTTTCACCGAACCCAATTTGACTCACAAACACCAAACTAACTCACAATAGGACCCTGGATCGAAACCAGGACATGCTATTGTCTATCTTTTTTTTTTTTTTTTTTCAAGATCTCACGCAGGCTCTAGACAAATTAAAAAGTTAGCAATTCACCAGCACGTCTGGCTGTTATGGTCTTACCTGGTCTTGTTCTTTATTGGGATGGCTAGGTAGACCAGGTAACCAAACATCAACTTGCACATATACTCTCACTCTTAAAAGAATGCAGACCTACTCATCAGCTGACCCCACCATCCTTCACTCTTGATCTCTCACCCTGCACTCACTTTCATCAGTAACCTCAACGCAGAGAATAAAATCTGAACGTCCCACACCTAACGCTCACCACTGTCTCGTCGATATGAAGGACGAGAGTACCTGCGCCAGGATAATCCGACAGTTGGGGACTACATATCAAGGTGGAGAGAATGAAGATGTCAGCCCTGCCAAGGAGCTTTTGGACGCCTTAAAAAAGTACCAGATACTACCACAGAGACCAGAAAGACAATCAACGTCATCACAGCATACGGGTTGAGCCAATATACAGTGACCTGATCATTGTGTGTCGAGACGATGAATATGCCGTGCACAAGTGCATACTTTGCCCACGATCGGATTTCTTTGCCAAAGCCTGTGACAGTGGGTTCCAGGTAAGATAGAGAACAACATATGAGTGTTGCACCTCGACTAATATAACCAAGGAGGCATTCACAAATAGGGTCGTACTACAAGAAGAGCCGCTCTTGGTTGAAGGGATGATCGAGTATCTCTACCACCTGGACTATGGGCGTAGGTTCACTGCCCAGCGCGAGACATCTCTATCGATCAACACAAACCAACACCGGACTCGGATGCCATGGAGATTCTTGAACAAGCCAAGAGGCCAGCGATCATATCTGACACCCTATCGTTTCACATTTTGATGTACTCCCTGGCAGACCGGATGTTCATTGAAGGACTGAAGTCCCTCTCAAAGGCCAAGGCCAATCAAGAGCTGACCCGACAGATAAACCTGGAGACATTCACGCATGCGATTACTGAGATCTACAACTCAACACCCGGGAGCGATAGAGGGTTGCAGGACATGGCAATCAAACTGACCATGGACAATCTGATACTGTTGGGAAGGATGAGGCAGTGGTCCGAACAGGGATCTCTACCGTTGAAACTCCCAGACGGTTTGATGAAAACAATTCCACAGTTTTCCTATGACTTGGCTGTGGCGATGATGGACCAGAAGATAGCCGACTGGGAATGCCGTGGCTATGGAATGAACTGGGAAAATCATTGATACCACGGCCTAGCCTGGGGCTTATATCACGCTCCTGCGAAAGCAGCTTGTTGGTAAGACAGTTGAATCCAAGGCGATATCTCGCGGGTGGGAATAGATGGAATGAGAAGACCAAGTCTTGTCAGCTTCACCAAGGGTGGGCGAGTTGGAGGTGGATGGTTGCTAATTGACCATATAGTGCTCTGTTGTATATTCGTCTCTTGGTGGGTACTCCATGTTTGTATTATCTGCAGGCCTGTTGGTCTATTCAAATGTATTGGTGGATTTATTTCTCTCGACCTTGTAGTATACAGCTGGGTGGCAAAAAAAGTATGGACCTCCGTTTCAGGCGGTTCAACTCGGTCTTCGTATGATAAATTAGTCTCCATCACCTGACATTCAAAGGACACCATATATTTCTATTCCAAATCTGAATACTAAATCCATCTCTCGCATGTTTCGATTATATGTGCATTTGCCGCTTGGTTGTGGGTAGATCCGAATCTGTCATGCTTCATAGCGCCAAGCAAGGTTGAACTTCCTTTTTGGGGGGTTCATCTTCGATTTGGGTAACAGATCTGTTTCGCTCGCCACACCACAATGCGGGGTCTATATGGCTCTATTGAAGTATGTATATAGTATTTTACTTGCGTATTTATTATCTGTGTGTATTTTGTTCGAGTTCAATGCCTTTGTGTGCGCTGAGTGAGACTATGGTTTAATGTTTGGCTTGATATATATCCGTGGTATAAATCAGTATGCATCTACGTCTACACACACTCTTCCAACAACACACATACTTCAAATCATACGAGTTAGCCATTCAAATAGCTGGAACATGAAAATAAAGCACAGCAGACGCAATTAAATGCAAACTACAAAAAAGCATGATGAATTGTTACAGAAGTGTATATGGTCGCCTGCATACATCATGGAAGTACTGAAGAACCAGCAACACAATGAACTACGATAGAATAGACATATAGAGGGTTGAAGATCTAGGAACACTAGGTCAATAACAGAGATCGAACGAATATAGTCCATGGTGGGTTGATGTTGGGCATGGAAAAGAGGCCAGCCTCAGGCAGTCAAAACAACGCGTCAAGCAACGCGAAGACCGAAAGATCAAGCCACCGACGATAGAATGGCAAGCACCAAAATACAAAATAGAAGCCAATAAACAAGAACGTACAGGTACATCTACCACGAGATCGACTCAGAACAGACATCAATTATTTCAAGTTTTGATTGATTGTATTCGTATCGGATCGCACTTATGTGCTTGATCCCACCATGTCTATGGTGCCAGCCGTAATGTAGAGGCCGTTATGATACAGAAAAGCTCAGAAGCGCACACTATGGACGCGCAATAGTGGTAATCGAGTGATATGAAAAGCAAACCCAGAGACCCATGACAGTTGCAGTAAAATAAATCAGAGAACACCCCAACGTCCCGTCGTACCGTGAACCAGCCCGGAAAAGAAAACAACAAATGATTTAGCCACCGAAACCGTAGAGGGTACCTGAAGAGGAAGGTTAGAGACGCGCTGGAGAATGGGAAGATACGTGGAAACTTACGGCCCTGGCGCTTGAGAGCGTAGACAACGTCAAGAGAAGTGACAGTCTTGCGCTTGGCGTGCTCAGTGTAGGTGACAGCGTCACGGATGACACCCTCGAGGAAGGTCTTGAGGACACCGCGGGTCTCCTCGTAGATCATAGCGGAGATACGCTTGACACCACCACGACGTGCGAGACGACGGATAGCGGGCTTGGTGATTCCCTGAATGTTGTCACGCAAAATCTTGCGGTGACGCTTGGCACCACCTTTGCCGAGACCCTTTCCACCCTTGCCGCCTGAAATGAGACGCGTTAGAACGCGTTGGAGAAGTGGAAGTGTGGGGTAAGAACTTACGGCCAGACATATTGAATATGGATTAGAAGAAAAAGGGGGTTGTAGAAGTGGGATGGAGATAAGTTGGTAATTGAGAGGTTGTCGATGGAATTGATGGAAGAAGAGGGAAAAGAAACGGAAGTGGACAGAGGATATTTGTATGATACGGGAATGAGCGAGGATTGGGAAATCACGCGCTAGGGATCGCGTCCGCCAATGAGAGCGCAGGATCACAGACCAACCTTGATCTGCCGGGAGACCCCAGAGTTGGCTCGCCGACTTTGCCGTGGTCGGTCTTTGATCCTGGTATCACCCGCCACCAACAATGTAAAATTGTAGGAAAAAGAAAGGATTATACATTCCAAATGATGGTGAGCACGCTCAGATGCATGACTCCCCCATCCAAAGGAGGTTGGGTGCAAGATCAAGAATTCAAGGGTTGAGCATTCTATACTCCCTGATCCTGCGTTCTCATTGGCCCACCTCTCGCTTAGTTGGCAGTACCAGCACTTTGATCCAGCTCGGCCAATCAGAGCTCACCGCAAATCGGTCTCTGGGCTACACGCTGCGCAGTCCCCAGTCCTACGCGCTGAGTTTCCTGACTGATCCTGATCGGCTGCCGTGCGCTGATTCGTGGCTCCCTTCCAGATCAATCCCCCCCCTCCCGTCTCCTACAAATACTCTTCCCCCACCCGCATCTCTCTTCCCTTTTACATCCATCCACCACCAACCAACTCTTTCATCAACAAAACCACATTTTCATCAAGTCTATCATCAAAGATGGCTCGTACCAAGCAGACTGCCCGTAAGTATTACCTCTATCATATTTTATTCATCTCACTGCAGATACCTGATTAGTCGGGTGTCCGCCTTGAGGATGGGCGACGCGTTCACGCGTTGGACATGAGACATTTTACTGACTGTCGCAAATAGGTAAGTCCACTGGTGGCAAGGCTCCCCGTAAGCAGCTCGCTTCCAAGGCCGCTCGCAAGGCCGCTCCTTCTACCGGAGGTGTCAAGAAGCCCCACCGTTACAAGCCCGGTAAGTCATATCTGCTGTCGCCGACGAATCCACTTGAAACATTTCTAACGTTCATCTCCAGGTACCGTCGCTCTCCGTGAGATCCGTCGCTACCAGAAGTCCACTGAGCTCCTGATCCGCAAGCTCCCCTTCCAGCGTCTGGTCCGTGAGATCGCCCAGGATTTCAAGTCCGATCTCCGCTTCCAGTCCTCTGCCATCGGTGCTCTCCAGGAGTCCGTTGAGGCTTACCTCGTCTCTCTCTTCGAGGACACCAACCTGTGCGCCATCCACGCCAAGCGTGTCACCATCCAGTCCAAGGACATCCAGTTGGCCCGCCGTCTCCGTGGCGAGCGCTCGTAATTTTTCTTTTCAACGAGCTGGTTTTCTGAAAGGCGATCATGGGGTTTGTTTTTATCTTTTTATCATGACTACTGGCGATACATGATGGGTTTGCTTTCAATATCAATGGGTTTCGGCACTGGGTTGCTTCGCAATTTTGCTTTTTTATCGATGCTACTGCTCACCATCGATTGATGGATCAGTCATGGGCATGTACATTACGGGGGCTCCCTTTAACATGATGCCTTAGCGCGCATCATCTCATGACAAGACGCTTTAATGCTGTCTTCTTGATTCAATACTTCTTTCATTGTAAATGGTAAATCTTAATTTATGTGATTTGCGACCGACTTGTCTTTTTGGGTAGCCATTAGTCCGCTGTGGCCTGAAGTATTCTTGCTTTGTTCTCTTTGGGTCTTGTGGTCTCATGTCCGTCCTCGGTCGCAAGGTTGCCTTTCACTCGGTAGTACTAACGCCCAACAACACCGTCGAAAATGAGATCGGAAATTGGTTAAACTGCAAAAAAAACATACCATCTCGGACATCGTCCTTTCCTTCCAAACCAACCTAAAAACAGGTGATTTGATCCCACCCCGAATCTCCCGGCAGGTTTTCTCTCGTTGCGCAACGGAATCCTAAGTACGAGATTCTATAATTAGACAGCGACAAACAGACAATGGAATCTGACTGAGACAAGAACAAATTCTCGGCCACTTGGAAAACCCCGCTTCAAGAACGTGGGGTCATCTCTTTATACTACCTAGTACTTGACTCATATCCGAAGCACTCAATGTACATCTCGACTATGACTTCATCTTGACCTAATCCTGCCTTTCAAGTGACTGGAACTTGGAAGTCCGCAATCAAATCCTGCAATACAACAATACAATAATCAAGCAACCAAACAAAGAATTGAACAGCACACAGCACACAGCACGCAATCTGAATGCGAGTTTCCGCTTTCCGACTGGTTCATATCATACCATATTAAAGTCCTGGCCAGACACAAACCTGATTGCCACGTAAGCACTTGACTCGAATCAAAAGCGAGACTTGAATGAGCTCAGCGTGTCATAGAGGCTCTAGGCGGCTGTATGTAGGTAGTAAAGTAGGTAGTACTGTAAGGTTCATTACCCTTCAGATCCCGAGGAATGTTCATATAAAACAGGATTATCTGCGCAGGGTAGTATCATATGACCAATCCTGAACTCGAAAGAACAATGAGTAGATCAGATGAATACATTTGCCGATCCTGGTATCAAGCCCAGTACAACATACGCAGACGAGAGGCACCTGGAGCGCATCCTTAGTATGAAAACACCGATATAACAGTTACTGTGAACAGGTGATCTATTCTGCATGTTAAAAATCAAAGATTCTTCTTTTTGCAAGGCTGAAGACGCTACTCCGTACTCCGTATCTAGTTATGGATCCCAGCTGTCATGCCAAGTTTAAGTGGAGACAGAGTGACTTGAACGCGTGTTTTGTTTCTTTGATCTTACTTCCCACATAGCCGGAAAGGCCTCGATATGAGAGAAGGAGGTAGCTGAAGATGAGAAGCATGTATTGCTAGAGCCTGACACGTATAGACATATTGGGTACTAAGATCAAGGCTATATAGTCTCGTGGTAGATGTATCCATCCTCGGTGGATCCATACATAGTCAGTTAGTTCGTTACAGGTATGGATCTATTTGGCCTGAGGCAAGAAAGAAGGCGCTAAGACACGTGGAAAATTCTAGCCTCGATTCCCCTCGATATGTATAGTAACTGTTACATACAATACAGAGGTATTTTCACCGCTGATTGGTCGCATGAGTGATGTCAATCGGGAGATGGAAGCTCCCGAGGTCCACTGGCATTTTTGATGGTTCATCTGCTCAAGAAATCGACCACTTTTACCAGCCTTGAATTTCATTCCTAGTGATTGGACTGGCCAAGAGGTAGTAAATGGCCAAAGAAGAGATTATATAGGTTTCCCTGGAACAGCCTTTCCTCGTTAATTTGGTTCCTATTCAAGAACTACAATCTATTTTTATATCGAATTGAAATGACACCCAACGCGCAGAGCAGGATTATCACGGTGCTGGGTATATAGAACACCAAGGCAGATGTGTAGTGAGTTCGCCTTTTAAGGGATAGTGCGCGGGAACTGTCACCAGGAATGTCAACTCCGTTTCAGCTCGACGGCTTTTGAATAATTTCAACCCCCCGACCACCTGAGCCTCAATACGGGAGACAGCTTTGATGTAGAAAGTCTTGAGATCGCTTTCTTTGGGGCTTATGGCTCATGGTGTGTTTACCGTGACGAGCGAGACCAATTAAAGATCGATTGAGAACGAGGATGACCCGAAGCAGGAGCTGGAAAGTGGAAGAACATCATCTCTGTCGCAAAGATCTGCCGCATTCAGCACTTTGTTCTTGATAGCATGCCAGACATGAGACGAGTAACTTCGGGTCGCTTTGAAAAGCCTTTTCATATGGATCATACGTTTATCATAGCAGGTGGGATAGCAAGACCTGTCTGCGGTCACTTGCCTTCTTCCTGGTGAGCCTCCCTCTTCCTTATGACACCGAGCGTCCGTGTGAAATTGCAGCCAAGCATTATTCAATGTCTCTTCTTTGCAAATCTGGATCTTCCGCAGTATTGAGGAGAAGGACTGTTCTGAAAGGGAGATTTGCCCATGGAGAACATTTTTCACTGTTGCAGCAAATGGGGTCGTTCGTTTTTGTCCCCCATTCCGTCGACAGAATTAGTTGAATAGGTTGATCCGGTTTGTGATATCGACCCTTTTGTATCTTTTGTAGTCGTAGACCTGGTGTGATATCCCATGTCTTGCAATGTGAGATTGGAGAGAAGTAACCTGTAGTTTATGAGAAGTCAAAACCGATAGAATCTCCCATATAGATATTTGCTCTAAGCATGCGAAAATGAAGAACAAAATCAGGTCGTCTGCAATCCGAGATTACGGATATTCGCCAGATGAAAGAGTGGATCTCGGTAGTGCCAGAGGACAAGGGGCTCTTCCAAGGTTGATCCAGCGGATGACTCTTCCTGGGAGGAGCTCCGCCTACAACATGCGAGCTAGTCCTGTCAAAGATTGGTAAAGATGTTCTGATTGGAGAGGACCTCGAGAGAGAATCTATTATTTTTTGACTGCTCATGTCACCTTTAAAAATTTACAAATAAATAAATCAGGGCATAACTAGTGGAGCTACGAAGATTAGTTATACATCGTTAAACTTTCAGGCCCCGTTGCCAACTCTGCCAACCTTGGAACTTGTCAACGCCAAGGCACCAGCGCTCTAGATACCCATGGACCCGAGGGTATATCCGAATGTCAAGTGCCGAGTCAGACTATAAGCGAATAGACACCCGAAGCAGCACTAGCTGCTTGAAAATAGATGTAGACATAGGTCAGGCCACCCATGTCAAAGACAGTCTTCCACGTCATGCGACACCGCACTACCTTCATTTCATGATTCTAATCCTGCTTCGTTGTGGTCGTCTCCGTAGGTGACTTGATGTTTTTTGTCTAGTGTAAACTTCATTTGCGACACTGAGACTATGATTCTACCAATTTGATTTCTATCTTTCGCATAGTACTTGTATAACTGTAGCATTGCTGTCTTTTGCAAGATCAAGGGCGCTTTGTCCCGATACAGTCCTCGCGTTGATGTCGGCACCAGCATCAATGAGTAGCCTTGCTTTCTCATCAGATTCATCTATTGAAGAATCGCCAGAAATTAGGTGCAATGCGGTCTCGCCAATTTTGGTGGTTGCATTCACATTCGCACCCGCATCGAGTAGAAGTCGGATTGATTGCTTTTCGCCATACGCAGCTGCAGAATGCAATGGGGTTTTTCCTTCATCGTTGGTTGCCTCGACGTTGGCATCGGCTCCAAGAGCGACACGCACTAGTTCCGCGGAGCTTTCAGCTGCCCGATGCAAGAAAGTGTCCCCTCCCTCACCTTTCATATACACATCTGCGCCATGGCTGAGAAGCAGATCAACGCATGTTGGATCATCTCTGCCTGCATGATGTAGCACGGGATCTCCATTGTTGTTAATAGCATTCACGTCCGCTCCAGCCTCAAGAAGAGAATGAACTATCTCGAGATGCTCACGGCCGGCAGCAATGTGCAGCGCTGTGTTCCCGTAGCACTCTGTTGCTGAGATATCGGATCCAACATCAATCAGGAGCTTTGCAATTTGGTAGTTCCCAAACAAGGCCACTACATGCAATGGTGTTTCGTGATCGATATTCCGTGCGTTGATTTCAGCCCCAGACTTGACGAGTAATTCAGCTACCGCGACCGAATCTCCAGCAGCTGCATTGTGCAATGGTGTCACGCCGTCATAACTGGGCGCAGAAACATTCGCTCCGGCGTGAATGAGAAGTCGTGTGGCCGCCTCATTACCCCCCTGAACAGCGAGGTGAAGCGCCGTGAAATCACGGGAGGAAATTGTAGTAGAAATGTCGGCTCCATCCCGAATCAGCACTTCGAGGAGCTCGATATTCCCTTCGACGACAGCTTGATGCACAGATGTAACTTGACTCTCGGGCGCTTGATGACCATCCTCGTTTCTGTCGCAAGAACATGTACGAAGAGGCTCAATATCAGCCATGTTGTCCGCTGGAACAGAAAGGATTCGCACAGGTGTGAAAAAACCCCGAAGATTCGTAGATTTACAGCAGAGTCAGGAAAGATTCCGTATTTTTAGACGTTGTTCTCCATAGATTGATCTTTCCAAGGCCCTTTGAACTGAAACCCTCTATCATATATTGCAGTGGGGGTTTCCAGAGCAGGATGACTAAGTGGCCATGTGAGCAACGCAGACACCTTTCCACCTTCACTTCTCAGTAGTCACCCCATGGTGTTCTCCTCTCTAGCACCCTACTACCAGTGACGACTCTGCTCTCACACCTGTTCGCAGGCAGGTCTGTCGGTGCCCCTGTCCTTCGTGGCAGGGTCCTCTCTTCAATATGTATATATATCTAAGTTCGTCCAAGTAAGTGATCTGCAGTACCGACTGACATGACACATATTTTAAGGCATTCCAGGTCTGGTTCCAAGGTTCTACCTCTGGCTAGGAACCATATAAACATCCAGGTACGTACCTCTGTTTAAAAAAAGAAAAAAAAAAAGGAAAAGAAGGACAAGGTGAGGCTAAAAAGGCTATATCTCTAGAGTTCGGCCAAGGTTCGGCACCCAACAGAGGGGCGCCTTACGTAATGTTAAGCCTCCTCTAACCTAATCAGGTAACTGACCAGTAGTTATTAAGGCTGAGGCCCCGGGGTAACTACTCAATTAATTCGAAACCAGTGATCCCCTCAATAAATAAACCTGAAGTCCAGAATCAAGTGTCACTGAACAAAGACCCTATGTTGTAATCATGTCGTCAGATATTCAGTGAACAGGACCCTAAGCGCCAGAAAGCGGCGCCACCCCGATCGGGAAACTTGCATCCGGGGTCCTAAAATCTGGTATGCAGACCCCTGACCTTGATGAATAATCAGAATCTGTTCGTGTTTATGAAGTATGTATGTACACGGAGTTAATCGGTCATAGTGGTGATAAAGATCATAAAAAAATAGTTATGTACGTGCATCGGAGATTGCCATGAATATCCGATCTTTAGATCGGTTCTCGATCTGTTCTTTGGAACGTCTACGGGTGGATGAAACTTCGGTTAGGTACCGAGTCCCATGCGGAACGTCCGAATGTGGGCGGGGTCCGAGGGTTATGCATGACCATGTGTATTTGTCATATTTATTGGTATACAATACTACTGTACATTATTAGAAAAGTCACGGAGTACTCCGTGATGTAAAGAGATACGAGATCGAAAACAAGATCGAACCTTCAGAATAGACTAGACTAGAATAGAAGAGCTAGGATCATAATCCCGTAGTTAACCTTTCGTTGGCTTATTGATCTGCTCTGAAACTTGCGGTCAAGTGACCCAATCAGATAGATGCCGCATACCCGAGTGGCTCGACATAAAACCTGCATAAATCACGTGGCGCAAAAACGTGGCTGCAAACAGAACGAGAGCACTGTACGTCTTGCCTCCAGGGCTGCATCTGAACACTCATATTTGTACGACACATAGCCCTTCAATTCAGTCTGAGAGGTATGTACGGATTAGGCATGAAATCAGGATGAAATCAATATCAAATAATGCCCCTGGGGTCCAGATCGCAAATTTTCTCGGATCATATCTTGCCCGGGTCCGAGGCCCACCTATCCCACTTATTCCACTTATCCGTACTTTATTTGCATATATCGCGTTCATAAATTTGACAACCCCCCCTTTATATATAGCTGGCAGTTGACGTCCATATCTAATTCTCATTCCACTAATTTTTCGACATTCCTTAACCTTTCTATCCCCCGCATAGCTTCAGGAACCCACGCAATTTTCATTCTAATTAGCAAATACATACTCAACTACTGTCGACTATATATCGAAACCTTAATTCACTACCTGCCCACCATGGCAGCTGACTCAGACCCTCAGGTCTCGGACAAGATCGAGTCCTCCGCCCCAACGAAAATTCCATACTGGCGATTGGTCTTTGACCAAGGTGTCGTCACACAAGAGATCATCGACCACCCATACCCCGGTTCAGGAACAGATGAGGACCCTTTTGCAGTAACATGGCTTCCCAACGACCCTCGCAATCCCATGAACTTTAGCGAGGTGAAGAAATGGACTTTTACCATGCTGGTCGCCGTCGCAACCTTGGCTGTTTCACTGGTGTCGTCTGCCTATACCGGCGGTATTCGAGAGATTATGGTGGATTTTGACATTGGACAAGAAGTTGCCACTCTCGGTGTTTCGCTTTTCGTTCTCGGTTTCGCGGTAAGATCTCATCTTTTAGATATTTACTCTTGCGCAATCTGCCTCGCATGCATACTAACGTTATTTGCTTGGTATAGATCGGACCTTTGCTCTGGGCTCCACTGAGTGAGCTGTTTGGTCGTCAAGTACTGTTCATTGGTACCTACGCCGCCCTCACGGCATTCAATGCTGGTGTCGCAGGTTCCAGAAATGCCTGGTCTATCATCATCCTTCGCTTCTTCGCCGGTTCATTTGGATCTTCGCCTTTGACCAACGCCGGTGGTGTCATTGCGGACATGTTCCCCGCTAGACAGCGAGGTATCGCTATGAGCTTGTTCGCCGCTGCACCTTTCCTCGGCCCTATCATCGGCCCCATCGCTGGTGGATTCATTGGTATGAGTGACGGTGGCTGGCAATGGGTCATGGGTTTCCTTGCCGTCTTTGCTGGTACGGTTTGGATTATTGGCTCTCTGACCATCCCCGAGACCTATGCGCCCGTGCTACTCCGTCGCCGTGCGGAGAGACTGTCAAAGCTGTCAGGCCAGGTCTACCGGAGTAAGATTGAAATCGACCAAGGCAAGGTCTCTCTGAAGGACTCTTTCAAGGTGTCGCTCTCCCGCCCTTGGATTCTGTTGTTCCAGGAGCCTATTGTGTTCCTGCTGTCTCTCTACATGGCTATCGTTTACGGTACCTTGTATATGATGTTCGCCGCTTTCCCCATTGTCTACGAGCAGTCCCGTGGCTGGAACCAGGGTGTTAGTGGCCTCGCCTTCCTCGGGATCATGATCGGAATGTTGTCTGCCGTCATCTACTCCCTCTTTGACAACAAGCGCTATGTTGAGGTATCCGACAGATATAATGGCTTCGCACCCCCGGAGGCACGTCTTCCGCCTTGCCTCGTCGCATCCGTCGCAATCCCAGTCGGTCTATTCTGGTTCGCATGGACTAACTACCCCTCAATCCACTTCATGGTCAGCATCGCAGCCGGCGTTCCCTTTGGCTTCGGAATGGTCCTAGTCTTCCTCAGCATCATGAACTACCTCATTGACTCATACACCATCTTCGCCGCCTCCGTGCTAGCCGCCAACTCCGTTATCCGTTCCCTATTCGGTGCCGCTTTCCCTCTCTTCACCACCTACATGTACAACAACCTGGGTATCCACTGGGCCTCATCGATCCCGGCCTTCCTGGCGCTCGCCTGTGTGCCCTTCCCATTCCTGTTCTACAAATACGGACCCGCGATCCGCACCCGTTGCAAGTTCGCCGCCCAGTCCGAGGCATTCATGCGCAAGATCCAGGAACAGGCCATTCCAGAACCGATGGAAGATGAGAAGGAGGAATACGACCGCACAGAAGCTCTGCCCGACGGTTCACTCTCCAGCGAATCCCAGGACGGCGTTGAAGAACTTGCTAATACGGAGCGCATTCGCAGCCGTGCGCACTCCCTTGCTTCTATTCGCACTGGTGCCTCGTTGGCTCGCTCGGTTACGTATGAGGGAAATCCTTACGATATCGACCGTGTCAACACCCGTGAATCCTTCAAGCAATAGGCGGCTGATGATCAGCTGTTTATTCCCTCTCACCTTACCATCTCTGTCCGGGCTTGTCATACCTATACATGTCTGTGTCACTAATCATAGTTTCTATTGACCCCTTTGCTTTGGGATCACTAAAAGTGCCCTTTTTGCGTGTTATACCTTTGTTTCTATTTTGATACCCGTTCATATCACCGAGGGTAACCTCATCCGACTAATGTTTTTATGGGCTGCATTTGTATAGCTGGAGTTTGGGATTGATTTAAGAAACACATACATACATATACATACCAGGCTACTTTCGGACGCCTTTTCTACAAGTCTATATATATCTTCTACGAATAGAGTTAAATGTAAACAAATTAACCCAACCCTAATTAGAACCGCATCCGGGACTGATCTCGGCATTTCCCCCGCTTTTCGGCTCTTATCGCCACAATCCCCGAGGTCGGATTTCAAAGCCATTGTTTCTTGACTCACAATTTTCTTTACTTCCACCTTCAACTATCCTCACTCAAATAACCATATGAGGTCTTGGTCATGAACCCCCTCCGAAATGCCCTCTTACCAAGGGCCTCAACCTCACCCTCAACCCCCTTCCGACCGATAACCCCCATATCCAAGCCGCAAGTATTGCGCCGCGGACGCCCACAACACCGATACAACTCGGACTCCTCTACGGGAAAGACACCAGCAGAGAGAAATGCTACACCTGCACACCCACCACACTCGCACTCGCACTCGCACCATTCAAGCCACCCAACTCCACCCCTGCGCCCGCGCCCAGACACAGCCCCTGCCGCTACCGCAGCCGGAGCACCGACCACACCAACGCGAAGTCGCGGCTTCCGCGCGGTGGTAATGGCCGGTCCGCTGGGGAAGTTTGGGAGATGGTACGCGCGCGCGCAAGATCGCAAGCCGTATACAACGCAGTTCTGGAGCTCGATTGTTATATACCTGTGTGGTGATCTGAGCGCGCAGATGCTGTTTCCTTCTGAGGTTCCTGCGCCTGCGAAATCGGACGCAGAAGATGGGGATACGGCTGGGGTTGGGGAAGGGGAGACTGTGAGCGCTGGTTATGATCCGCTTAGGACTCTGCGGAGTTTGTGTGTTGGCGCTGCGTCGAGTATTCCAACTTATCACTGGTATGTTTTTGTGATGCGGATTTGATTATGGCGACGTGCGACATGCGACCAGGGATATTAGATTGTTACATATTAGTGGAGAGGTCTGTATTCGTATTGTACACTGTTAACTGATATAACTTCCCTCTCAGGTTCATGTTCCTCGGCAACCATTTCAACTACCCGAGCAAATTCCTCTCGATCCTGACGAAAGTCGTCGTGCAGCAGACGTGTTTCACTCCTGTCTTCAACACGTACTTCTTTAGCATGCACTCTCTTCTTGCTGGTTCGACGTTCGAGGAGACGTGGGAGCGGGTGAAGAAGGCTCTCCCTGTTAGTATCAAAAACAGCGTTAAGCTCTGGCCGATTGTTACTGCGTTCAGCTTCATGTACGTGCCGGCGCAATTCCGGAACGTCTTTTCTGGGTGCATTGCGGTTGGCTGGCAGACCTATCTGAACTGGTTGAATCTGAAGGCTGCTAGGGAGGTTGCGGCTGCTGAGGCGCTTGCTGAGGCGCAGGGCATGGGTGCTGGTTCTTTGCATCCTGTTTCTGGGGGGAATATGATCTCTGCTGGGACTATATGAATGCGTGGACAGTAGACCTGGAAGTATAGTTGAGGCTGAGTGGAGGTATACATTTATAGATAGATCCCCGCGGAGTATTGGCGTTGGGATTCTTCTGTTTTAGAGCGATGCATGGGATACCAAGAGCAATTACTTAGATCAATAGACTTCAGTCTCTTTTGCTATTTAAATTTTATGTCACAGTTATCCAATATCTCTATTATCAAGTACGTGATGGCCAGCCAGTAAGAACAACGGGATTCTTAAGGCAGCTCCCTCAACATCGCAATGACGCACCCGAACATCAACTCTATCTAACAGGTTATGATTCCCTCCCGTCGCAGGCATGTCCTGCCTAGAGAGAGATGATAATGACACTGACTACGGATCCGACTTCACTCTAGATGAAGAGGATCTGTTGAACAATCTGTTAAACAAAGCCTTCGCGGAACACGCGACCGCCGACGCCACTTTCATCTCGACATCAACCTGGCCCTCAACCCCAACGCCGATCGAACACATCACCGCACCAAAATCCCCAGGACTCGCCGAGCTCGAGTCATTGCAACCGGAAGCTCTAGAAGCACTCCTTGCAGATGTCGAGGATGGCATTGAGCCAGCTAGCGCTCGGCTGCCTAAGGTGCTGGGCCGGGAACAGCCTTACTCGTCATGGCGGCAGTCGCAGCCTCGACCGGGTCAGACGGCTAGATGGGGTGCGAGGACGAGTGCAATGGGGAGGTCAGATCCGCGCGCTGGCAACAGCAACAGGAGTAGCCCGTTTGGTATGCTATATCGTCTCTACTTTTCCTCTTCCTCTTCGCCGTTGATCATCCACACTTTCCCATTCCCATTATATTGGTCCCGTTACATCCAACCCGAATTGAGCTGACGACATCTTCTCCGAAGCGTTTAGTCGAGACCGCTGATTCAACTGAGGGCCGAGAAAGAGAACGCGAGCGCAACGCAGCGCGCGCGCTCGAATTGACACAGCAAGATCCTGTCACCGCAGCGCTCGATACTCGATCCCCCGTCGAACGGTTCCGGCAAGCACCTAACAAGGCGTTTTCGGTGACGGATCTGGTCTCGCCGGCTTGGTGCGAGCTGCAGTACTGGTTCTCGTTGACTAAACATGGGCGGAAGAAGAGGACCGCTGCGATGAAGAGGGGGAGTACCATGCACAAGACGCTCGAGGATGAGATCTACACTACCGTCCCTGTGGAAATCACGACGAAAGAGGACGCGTGGGGTCTCAGGATATGGAATGTTATACAGGGACTGCGCATGCTGCGCGAGTATGGTGTTACGCGTGAGCTGGAGGTTTGGGGCGTTGTCGATGGGGAGTTTGTTAATGGCATCATTGATCAGTTGTCCTATGAATGTCCCAACCCGGAGCTTGAGGCTACTGCTGCTGGGTTCTATGCCGACGCTGTAGCATCGCGCGCTGCGCTGCCGGAGTATCAGATGTCCTTGTCGGACTTTTTGCTTTCTTCTTCGCAAGGCGGGATGAAGCTTTCGGATCTGGGGCAAAGTGAAGCCGCGGAAACGGGGCACACTGAGCCAGAATTGCCCGCGGCGGTCTATAACCTGCGCCGGATTTATTTGACAGACGTGAAGACGAAGGGTAACCGATCACTACCGAATGTCAAAAGCACGGGGTTCCGGCCAACTCTTCTCCAGCTGCAACTCTACTACCATATGCTCAACCGGCTGATCACGAGTGACGATGTAACTATCGATCGCCTTGCCACTCGTTACGACTTCGATGCTGAGAAACCCTTCACGAACGCCTTCGTTTCGGAGGTCGGCGGCCTGAACGACCAATTCTTCGACGCTCTTTCCTCCCAAGAATCCGAACAGTGCCGGGATCCTTCCACTGCTAGCCAGGACTCAATCGATACCCTTCTAACACATAACAACCTCTCCCGTCTTTGGAGTCTCATGATACAGCAACTCCGCCTCACATTCCTCCCCGAAGATGTCCCCGACACACAATCCGTCGCACCATCAATTCCATCACTTTCCCAGCCAGAGCTTTTGGAACCATACTCAACCCTCCTCTCGCCAGTGCTTACGGCTAGATATCTCTCATCTGTCCCCGATGAAGACCTAAACAGACAGCTCATCGGAAGCCGATCTTTCCTCTTCGATCCGACAACCCTCACCTCCTACCTCGCTGACCAGATGACCTGGTGGCGCGGCAAACGAGATCCCGTTGGCGTGGATATCATGGATGCGTGGAAATGTCGGGTCTGCGAGTTCCGCGATGAGTGCTCTTGGCGCGAGGAGCGTGAGATGGCTTATGCGAGACGGGGTGGAGGTCGGAGAGCTGGGCCCATTGCGGATATATGATCTGTCTTGTTTGAGCCTGAGTTGAGACTTGCTTTTTTGTTGCATTCAGCAAGTGCAGGAATATGCAGTTGGTTAGCACTGAGCATGCTCTTTTACTATGTACATCATATTGCGCCTGTTGAGGTCATCTTTCCGGAGGTCATATTCTTGATTTTGATTATGCGCAGGATCAGGCATTGCAATATTTGCATCTAATAGTCCTGATCTTGGAAAGGAATATCGCCAATACTCGAATAAGGAAAGACATCATCCATAAAAAGCCACATTCACATTGCATTCAAAGAGGATACCTCCTAACCTCATCCTCCTTCTCAACATCTAACCCCCCCTCAACCTGCAGTCTATGCTTCTCATCCAGATACTCCAACAGAACATCCTGATACTTCTCCTTCCCCTTATACCTCCCAACATCATCCCCCCAGCTCCTAACCGCATCCGCCAAACGGCCAGGGACATAAGGCTCCTCAGCAATACCAATAACAGGCTCAAAATAAGTCCGAATGGTAAAAACCACCGCCCCAGATCTGGGCAATCTTCTCAGCGACTGCCTCTCGGAGCGGAAGAAATGATTCTCAATTGCCCGGTTCTTCTCCGCCGTATTCCACGACACCGTCTCGGCATCCTCAGGCCCAATACTATGCGACCACGCCAGGTTATCGTCGACCTGGATGAAATAATTGTTCCGAAGAACCGGCTCTTCGGGCCGCAGTCGGCGGAAGAAATTCAGCATCCCCTTTTCCAGCTTGCTCTTGTACTGCGGTACGTCGCCTGATGTGTGGATTTCTGAGAGCCGCATCCCGAACTTGTCGCTCAGTCGCCAGAATCCCGCTAATAGGACTGCGCCGGCGAGGAGGTAGTATTCGCCGTCTGGGCGCTCGATCATTAGTGCTAGGTCGTCTTGGACGAGTCGGGCGGCTGTTGCCATTGGGTCTTCTGGCAGTGGGCGTTGGGTTATGTTGAAGGTTTCGTAGGTTACTTTGTTGGTTATTCCTGTTGCGGTCTTGGTGAACATGCTTGGGTATCTTTCGGGGAGGTAGGCGCATCTGGTGAGAGGAGTTAGGGGAGGTCTTGGATAGGGATGTGTATGTTTTGATTGCTCTTACAGTTCTTCCAGTAGTTCAATTGCAGCATCCATTGCCTCTGGTGCGGTGTGGCAGCATTTGCTGCCGCGCTCTTCAATGCGGCGTGATTTGTCGGCGTGGTACTTGAGATAGTGGTTGTCGAGCTCTGTGTTCCGGGTATATGAGGTCAATGGGCTGCTGAGATCTGGCTATCGAAGAACGACTCACCGATCCATTCGTCCCATTTCATGCTTCTTAAACCTAGTGTGACGTAGTATTTTCTGCGAGGAGAGGTTAAAAGACGGCTAGCAGTATCTCTATTGATTTATTCAACTTACGGGCCATATCTAAACGGCCGGTAGGGAATTGGCTTCGTCGAGTGGACATCCCATCCTGCGTATGGGGCTGCTGTTGGCCGTTTGAAGTCCGATGGAGTCCATTCTACAGAAAGTTAGTGAGACTTTCTCTTGCATGAACTACCATCCTGAATTTACTTACCACCAGGTGGCCTAGTGACCTTTCCTCGCACGGGTTTCTCTAGATCACCTTTCGAGGCTTTGGTCGTACTAGAAACCCATTTCCGTGAGACGACGATAATAAACCATATACAGACAGCGAAAATGATAAAGATATCCACGGCCTGTTTCGTTGGGATGGATAATATAGTTCCCCATAGGGACTCAAGTACCGACATGGTCATGGCAGAGTAGTTTTAGGCAGTAGCCAGTTCGAGGATACATTGAGGATAGAAGTCGAGGAACTTTAGTAGTATATAGTAAATGCAAAGCCTTATCAAGTCTGGAGTGCGGAGAAGGATATTAACCGCCCAGATGGTCCTCTCATGCGAGATGCCGTGTTAATCCGATACGAGATAGTCCATCTTTGGTCAACATGCCAATGTGGCTGGGAATAGAGACCGTCCTTTTCGAGCTGTCAAATCCGGGACTGCATAATTTTGTCCTTGGTTTGTCTGTTGTTGGCCTCCAGTGAAGCGGAGTCAGGGTTTATCTGCGGAGAAAAGCTAAAAGTTGAGGGATATTTTGCCCTAATTGGGAAAGGTGAAGCTACGCATGTACTTGATAACCTCTTGTTTACTTATTTGTTTGCACTCGATGCGAGTGAATGTTTCACTGTTGATGTTTTTACATAATTCTTCTAGAGGTTTTATCTAGAAGGATTCAAGACCTATACATGGCCTGCGACTGTTCGTTGGAGAAGACAGTATTCGCCCCATTTGCGTCGAAAGCGAGCTGGGATGATCGGGAAATCAGGAATCCAGATCAATCGACCTAAAAGACCTGTTTGAGACGCATCGAGGAAGCTTGCGCAGGAAAGCGTCTCCCACTGCGCCTTGTCCAGGAGGTAATGGGGCTCTAGCTCAGTTGCGTCGTGACCAGGGAAGTAAGAGTCAACCAGGAAAGAACATTGAGAGATATCCACCTGTTGTAAAGTCAGCATAGGGTAATAGGGTATAATAATTCTAAGGCTACGTTGAGACACTTACGTATTTAGTAGGGTCCTCGATGTTGAGATCATTCATGCCAGATGGAATCTGTGAGGCACCATCCAGACGCCCAATATAACTTGGCGCATCTGGGAATTCGCCAGGAAGTAGTCCTCGGAATTCACTTCGGATAAACTTGGCGCGCATGTCGTTGGGAAGGAAATACGATGACGGGAAGCGATACCACTCCTTGCCGAAACACACCGAGTCTCCTGCCTGTGCGATATCCACACGTTGTAGTGGCTCGAACACCTTCAATGGAGCGTTATAAGCCGTAACCATACCTAGAGTGCGGAGCATGCCAGCGTTCAGACCAACAAGAACAACTGACATAGCTGCAGCAATCTTTAATTTAGTTGGTACGCGGCCGATCAGCTCCTTTTTGTTAGTGGAGCCAAGGTAGGTTAGGATGATATGGAAGCTCAAAGCCCCGCTAAGTGCCAGGAACGGGTATGCTGGGTACATAAACCGCTCTTCCTTGTGTGGCTGGACCGAGAAAATCCCGAACCACATATAAAATGGAGCGACCAGGGCCATGGACCGCAATGAGGTTTGCAAGGAGGCGGTGTGCGATCGGAAGACGATCTGGAAAAGTAGGAGGGGCGCGGATAGCATGGCGAGAACAAACCAGACATTGAAGTTGAGCAAGAGGTTTCGAATATAGAAAGTCCATGGCTCAGTTCCAAAGATATCTGGTCCTTTACCTTCTCCACCCAGGACGTTGTATGCAACAATGTTCCAAGGCACGAGAACGAGCTTTTGGAAGAAAGCATAGTCAACCGCAACTTCTAGAGCCTGTGATACAGCTTAGTAAAGAAATTGAAACCAAGTAGGAAGTCACCTACCAGGATCGACAAACAACGAGTGATACCGTCAAAGACATTGTACAGCAGTGAGCCGACAGACCCAGAAATGAAACTAACAATAGCCTCCTCAGCTAAAAGAGGGACAATGAGAGCACCGGCAAACGGCCACCCAACAATTGTCCCCAGGCCAAACCACATGATGCCCTTCGCTGTTTTTCGGCAGTTTTTCCAATCCAGGAATGATGCCAGACCAAGCATAGACATATACATGGTAAAGGTAGAGGGCAAAAAGGCTGTCGAAGCATGAAACATGCCAGGGCTGAGTGTGATGATCATAACAAAAAACAGACCGATGCGGGGACTGAGTGTACGACATATCGCAGAGTATAGTCGAGTCTGGCAGGCAGTACACAGAAATGCAAGAGATAGGCGAATTGTGTAGAATTCAGCTGTCTTGCTATGGACCACCAAAGATGCGATCTTGCCTACAGCAGCATGGAGCGACACGTAGAGCCAGCTCCGGATAGAATACACCGGAGAATATTCCCAGGTTTGAAGACCATATCCATGCTGCAGATAATGTGTAGGTTCCCAGAAATTGAACACCTCATCACAATCCTGAATTGGAGAGTACAGTGCGGCGAGAGTGTTGGCAACTAGGAATATGTACAGAGTGATGTTGAGGGGAATGTAGAAGGGAGCTGGTGGCGGTCTATACATAGGTTAGCACCATGTTTGATTTCACACAGGTTCATGAACATACTGCTTCTTTGTCCGAGGTTTATGGGCATCCCCTAGGGCATTGTCGTTTCCTGCCATCTTGTACGTTGAAGTTAAGTCGCAACGCAATCATCCATGGACAGAGCTACGATAACCGATAACCGATAAGACATTGTTGACCGCCCTTCAGAGTATGGCAAAATAAAAAAAAGTTTCCCGTCCGGCTTTTGATCTTTCGAATTGAACTGGTTTTTATGCAATAAGTTTTTGAGTTGGAGATTTAGTATGGATGGACATCAAAACCCTGCAACTGACAGCACAGGTGCCGGTGAAGGCCCTGCCTCGAAAAAACCCTGTCTTATCGAGACACCTATCGCAGGGTCCCAAGACATCGGCGCAACCAGCCTGAATGCTGGAGACAGCACAACTGAGAAGCCAAGCCATATCCCCGGATTGAACCTTATTCAACACTCCTCCGACGAACAAACCGGCTCGGCTTTGACCGAACACACAATCAAGCAAGAGCAAGAGCAAGATCAACTAGACCACCAAGAAGGCGAGACGGAAAACCAGCAAGCGGAAATCCATCTTATATCCCAGCACGAGCCCACCGAAGTAATGATCAAGAAGGAGACAGAGGCGAACCATTTCACAAATGAGCCCACTGCTCCCCTCAGCGAAGCTATGGATGTCGCGCAAGATAACCACCAAGACAATATGATCGAAGCCACTGGCCAGGCGGGCGATGTCGAAGAAGAGGAGCATCCTGAGTGGGAGGTCGACTCTTCCCCGTACGAGTCATCTTCAGACAGCTCCGATTCCTCGGACTCCGACGATAGCGACGATGAAGACTACCCAATCCTCAGTGCCGAGGAGCAAGCGCAGATCCTCATGCGGGCGGAAGGTGGCTCTGATGACGAGGGAGATGGCAAGGGGAAACCAGGCGGACAACTGCGGACCACGAACGAGATCGAACATGAGGTCCTGCCTGTCCCTGACGTCAAGATCACCCCCGAGATGAAGATTGTGTTCCTCGGCAAAGTTCATGCCGCTATCGATAACAATGTTCTTATCGAGGCTAATACCTCTGGAGAATATCAGGTGCTTGAGTCGGGCTCCTTGCTCTGCTCTGCTGATCGCCAGATCATTGGTGTAGTAGCAGAAACCCTGGGCAGAGTGGAGAATCCTCTGTATACTGTCACATACGCCACAGCCTCCGAAGTTCAAGAAAAGGGCTTAGTCAAGGGCAAGGATATCTTCTATGTTGAGGGACACTCCACCTTTGTCTTCACCCAGCCGCTCAAGGGCATGAAGGGAAGTGACGCTTCTAACTTCCACGACGAGGAAGTTGCCGCCGAAGAGATGGAATTCTCCGATGATGAAGCAGAAGCCGAGTACAAGCGGAAACTGAAGCAGAGACGACTTGATCGAAAGGAAGCCAGAGAAGGCCCCAAAGGCAAGAAGCCAGCCCCAGGACCTTCCAAATTGAACCAGACCGAGCTCAACTACGACGATGCTGGCGGTGAGGAGGGATACACCCCTCTTGCACGCCCTACCAACTTCCACGAGATGATGAGAACTCGTGAGCCACCAGTTGAAGGCAACGAGCGTGGTGGGTTCCGCGGAAGAGGTCGTGGCCGAGGTGACCGTGGTCGGGGTGACCGTGCACGTGGAGGACGAGGCAGAGGTGGACGCGGAGGGAGGGAGTGGGACCAGGATCGCCGGCCCCAGCAGGCCAGCGGCTCAATCCACGAGCCCCAGCCCCAGCCTCAAGCGCAACCCACTGCTACCTACGGCCAGCCAATGTACCAGCAACCCCAGCAGCCATACGGGATGCCCCAGCCCTTCGCCGCGTATGCGCAATACACACAGCAAGCCCAGAACCCGCAACAGCCGCAATTCGGCCAAGGTGGAGCGCAGCCACAGATGCCTTTCCAGTTCTCCCCATATCCAGCCTTCCAACAACCGCAGCCCAATAATTTCCAGAACATGCAGCAGGGTGCTGCTCAATTCAATCCTCAATCCCTGGCTCTCTTGCAACAACAACAGCAGCAACAATTCCTGCAGCTTCTGCAACACCAGCAGCATTACCAACAGTCTCAGCAGCATTACCAACAGCCTCAACAACAGCCCCAGCAGCATCAGCCTCCCCAGGCCCAAAATCCAGCTATGAACTTTGACCAAGTTAAAGCTCAGCTGGATCTGCTACGCAACCTGAGCGGCGGAAATCAGGGTCCTCCTCCTTCCTGATACTTTGTTTTTCATACATGTTCTTCTATGATAGATATCCTAGCATCGGCTTTGCATACGGAGCGTGGTTTATGTGGGTGGTTAAAAAGTTTTCCATAGCTCTAATTGAGTGCTTGTTTTGAATGATTTACAGTGTCAAACAGTAAATACCTGAAGTATTATGGATCATGTATGACAATGACAAAGGCTATGAAGCAAGTTCGCTATCTGTAGACGTACAATAAACCTAGACGTTGATTATCTGTCGTAGGAAATGTTAATATTCAGCTGGCTTGGCACTCTTCGCGAGTGTCCAGAAGTTCTCCATCTTGGCTCGGGACAGGGCTGCTTTGGCAGCAGAGTCGGTCTCACAGATACGAGCACCGAACCATTTCCTGAAGGCCCGACCTTTGGTCGGTCCTTCCCAGAGGAGATTACATGTGTTCGCGCTAAAATCCCGGGGCTCTCCCTTATCATCTTCAGTGGACAACCAGGAAACCTGAGCTTCAGGGCTGTCTGCAGGCACTCGATCGGATCCAGGGTTTTCGGTCCAATCAATGCGGTTCAGCATCAGCTTTCGATAATTGTTGATAGAGTGTTGGCCGCCCTCAACGATCACCAGGTTAAACCGGGGATGCATGACACACATGCCCGTCAGATTATTTTGTTCTGCGTTTTTGCCGATCTTGAAGCGGTTCCGGCCGCTCGCCAGACTGTCAATTCGATACACAGATTGGAATATGCCCAAAGAGGCATCCTTCTCTTTCTGAGCTTCCAACTTCTCGCGCCGTTGCTCCTTGGTCAGTTTGCGGTCTTCATTTGCCTGCTCGTGCGCTGCTTTCCGATCTGCGATCTCCTTGGTCACACGAGCTTCCACGGCCGTGGGGTCCTTCACAGCTTGCTCGCCCAAAACCCGCATCAGATTGGATTTCTTGACCTTTGGAGCCGGTGCTTCCACGAGTCCCAACCTGATCTTGGCTTGCTGTTCCTTCAGATCTGCCATGCGTCGCTGTCGTCGAATCTTGGCTTGTTCTTTCGGGGTAAGGAACATAGGCTTCTGTGCAGGCATGTGCTTGTCTTGAGGAGGTTCGAGCTCGATAGGATGCTGGACATAGCTGTTGAGGGTATCAAGTTTGATGTTTTCCGGGTTATCAATTGCGTCATAGTCGCTGCCATTAACCAATCTTGCATCCCACCACTCTACATCGGGTGGAGCAGGAACAAGGAATGCCTTTTCCACATCCATATCCTCGTCAAGTCCGGCCTGTCGCGATTTCTCTGCAATTCTTTTCTTCATAGCTTCTAGCTGTGCTTGTCTGCGTAGAGCCGCTGCCTGTTGGATGTATTTGCCCTTTTGATTAAAAAGGAGCTCTCGGGTTTGTCGGGGCTTTGCAATAGTCGCTTTGGGGTTGAGAGAGGGGTCGAAGTAAGGATTATTCCTGATTTCCTCGGCGGACGGACCAGACAGATCAAGCTGAGGCCCACCAGCACGTTTTGGCTTAGACTGCCGTCCATTTGCACCACGATATTCCGGTGGAGCATCAGACAGAAGCGCGGGATGAAGGCCAACATCCAGACCACCGCGAGCCTTCGACATGCCCTCATCGTCATGCGCCGGTGGTTGGTAGGATAATGCGGGTGCACTGGGTCGCGGCTGAGAGGGTACACTTGCTCGTTGAGTAGCAGCAGCAACTCGAGCTTTCATTTGTTCTAGTTTCGACATCGCAGGAGCGGGTGGTGGTGGTGGAGGAGGATTTGCAGAAGGTGCAGGCGGTGGTGTTGGGGTCGCTGGTAAGCTACCGTGTGCTTGTAGACGTGCGCGTACAGCTTCTGCCTTTGCCCTTGCTTCTGCCATTATTTTCGCAACATCTGGCTTGCCCGGGGCAGCACCTCCTTGACCTGGTGCTGGCGACCCATGGTTGGAGCGGGTCCTTTTCTGGGAGTTGTCGTGTTGACCCTCAGGGTGAGGACGCTTGAGCGCATTGCCCGATGCATCAGCCATAATATAGACGGCCTCTCACTCGGTCTTCCGACGAAAGGAAAAACAAAAAGGTTGAATGCGTAAAGGATAGACAAGTAACAGCAGTTGTGCATCAATCCACACGGAACCCGAAAAGGGTAAGGCGGTGGCGCGATGGCAGAAAAGAAGTTGGTCCGGAAAAAAAAAAGTTCGCTCCAGAACTAAAAGCACTTGGAGATCTTGTATCCAAGCACTTTGATTTCGCGCGACAGCGTTTTCTGTTGCTCAAGGAGCTGCAGGCTACAATGGCAACTTTCGCGCGCCCCGTCGCCTCGACGATTAATGGGGTCGACTTCAATGTGTACTCCGAGGAAGAGATTAAAGCTCTCTCGGTGAAAAGAATTCACAATACTCCGACTCTGGATTCATTTAACAATCCTGTTCCTGGTGGTCTTCAAGACCCTGCTATGGGCGCTTGGGGAGATCATGTGTAAGTCTTGACTTGAGTAGTATACTGTTCAATCTTTAATGTTTGAGTTTTTCTTATTCTACAGATGCACAACCTGTCGCCAGAACTCATTCACTTGTACCGGACATCCTGGACACATTGAGCTGCCAGTACCATTCTATAATGTCACCTTCTTCGATCACATCTTCCGCCTTCTCCGAGCACAATGTGTATACTGCCTTCGCCTGCAGATGGGTCGCAACCAGGTCAACATGTACATCTGCAAATTGCGCCTTCTGCAATATGGCTTGGTTGACGAAGTCGCTGTTGTCGATGCGATGGGATCCGTCAAAGGTAGCAAATCAAAGGCGACCAGCAAGGAAGGCGATTCCGACGACTCAGACGATCCCGATGAGGATGACTATATGCAAAAGAGGACTGATTATGTCACTCGGCGCATTCGCGAAGCCAAGAAGGAGGGCAAATTGGACGGTTTGATGCCTGGCGGACAAAACCCTATTGCCGCGGAGGCCAGGCGAGAGTTGATTAAGGCCTTCTTCAAGGATATCAATTCGTTCAAGAAATGTGTCAGCTGCAGCGGGTACGTTATGCAATATTCCTCGACCCTGACTTTGGCTTTCCAGCTAACATTATGGCAGAGTGTCCCCCGCCTATAAAAAGGATCGCTACAACAAAATCTTCCGAAAGCAATTACCCGAGAAGCAAAAGCTTGCAATGTTGCAAGGAGGATTCCAAGCACCGAATACCATGGTCCTTCTCGAGCAAGAAAGGAACTCTAAGTCCAAGAACGGCGTTTCTGAGATCCACGGAGCTGAGGAAGAAATTCGCCGTGGTGTGGCTGTCGTGCAGGAGGTACAGGGATCGACCGGCCAGGAATTCATGTCTTCTTCCGAAGTCTATGGAGCTCTTCATCTTCTTTTCCAAAAGGAAAGCGAGATCCTGCAGCTTGTCTACAACTCTCGACCTGTGCCCAAGGGAATGAAAGTTGTGTCGGCGGACATGTTCTTCTTCAAGAGTCTTTTGGTGCCACCAAACAAGTACCGCCCCGCAGTCCAGCAGGGTGCCGGAACAGTCATGGAAGCACAGCAGAACACTTCGTTCAATGCGATTTTAAAGGGTTGTGACACTATCAACCAAATCAGCAAGGAGATTCAAAACGAGGAAGAGAAGACCATGTCTCGGGCACGAAACTACAGTGACCTCCTTCAAGCCATTGTTCAACTCCAAGATGTGGTCAACGGGTTGGTGGACCGCGAGCGTACCTCTGTCACCGGCTCAGCTGCCTTAGCACAGCCTAACGGTATCAAGCAGATTCTCGAGAAGAAGGAAGGTCTGTTCCGAAAGAACATGATGGGCAAGCGTGTCAACTTTGCTGCTCGTAGTGTTATCTCGCCCGATCCTAACATCGAACCCAATGAGATTGGTGTACCCCTTGTCTTCGCTAAGAAGTTGACTTTCCCTGAGCCTGTTACAAACCACAACTTCTGGGAGTTGAAGGAGGCTGTTATCAACGGTCCCGACAAATACCCCGGCGCTTCTTCCATCGAGAACGAAAACGGACAAGTCATCAACCTCAAGTTCAAGAACCTGGAAGAGCGAACAGCACTTGCCAACTCACTACTCGCACCGTCAAATTGGCGCCAGAAAGGTTCGCGTAACAAGAAGGTCTACCGTCATCTCACCACTGGTGATTACGTCTTGATGAACCGTCAGCCAACTCTCCACAAACCCTCCATCATGGGTCACAAGGCTCGTGTCCTTCCCAATGAGCGGGTTATTCGCATGCACTACGCCAATTGTAACACCTACAACGCCGATTTCGATGGTGACGAGATGAACATGCATTTCCCTCAGAATGAGCTTGCCCAAGCGGAAGCCAGAATGTTGGCAGATGCCGACCACCAGTATCTCGTTGCCACATCCGGAAAACCGCTCAGAGGTCTGATTCAAGATCATATTTCTATGGGAACGTGGGTTACGTGCCGTGACAGCTTCTATGACGAGGAGGATTACCACCAGCTGTTGTACAGTTGCTTGAGACCAGAACATTCGCATATTGTCACTGACCGGATCCAACTGGTCGAGCCTGCCATGCGCAAGCCCAAGTGCCTGTGGACCGGAAAGCAGCTCATCACGACAATTCTCAAGAATATCCAGCCTCCAGAGCGAGGAGGTTTGACCTTGCTGAGCAAGTCTTCAACCCCTGGCGATCGATGGGGCGAGGGCAACGAAGAAGGAGAAGTTATCTTCCAGGATGGAGAGTACCTTTGTGGTATCCTTGATAAGAAACAGCTCGGTCCCACGGCCGGTGGTCTCATCGATGCCATCCATGAAGTTTATGGATACAGCATTGCTGGCAAGCTTATCGGTATTCTCGGAAGACTTCTCACTCGCGTCCTGAACATGCGTGGCTTCAGTTGTGGTATCGACGATCTTCGATTGACCAAGGAGGGTGACCGTATCCGTAAGGAGAAGCTGGCCACTGCTCCTCAGATGGGTCGCGAAGTTGCTTTGAAGTATGTCACCTTGGACCAGGCTCCTGGTGACCAGACTGCCGAGTTGAACCGACGATTGGAGGAGGTTCTTCGCGATGACGACAAGCAAAGTGGCCTGGATAGTGTTTCTAACGCCCGGTCTGCCAAGCTCTCCTCTGAAATCACCAGCGCCTGTCTCCCATACGGCCTTGCTAAGCCTTTCCCCTGGAACCAAATGCAGTCTATGACGATATCTGGAGCCAAGGGATCTAGTGTTAACGCCAATCTGATTTCTTGTAATCTTGGTCAACAGGTTCTTGAGGGTCGCCGTGTACCACTCATGATCAGTGGAAAGACTCTTCCGTCATTCAAGGCTTTCGAAACTCACCCGATGGCCGGTGGTTACGTCTCTGGTCGTTTCTTGACCGGAATCAAGCCCCAAGAATACTACTTCCACGCCATGGCTGGTCGTGAGGGTCTGATTGATACTGCTGTCAAGACATCTAGATCTGGTTACCTGCAACGTTGTTTAATCAAGGGTATGGAAGGTCTCAAGGCTGAATACGACTCCTCTGTCCGCGAAGCGTCAGATGGCTCCATTGTCCAGTTCTTGTACGGAGAGGACGGTCTCGACATCACCAAACAGGTACACCTGAACGACTTTGATTTCCTTGCTCAGAACCACATCTCCATTTCCAAGCAAGTCCAGGCAGATGATTATCACATGCTGGCGAAGGATAATGTCACGAACTGGCACAAGGATGCCATGAAGGCGGTCCGCAAAACTGGAAAGATTGATGCTGTGGACCCTGTGTTATCCCACTTCCCCCCTGGAGGAAACCTCGGAAGTACATCTGAAGCGTTCGCACAGGAGCTAAAGAAGGTATGGACTCGCTATCTCTTCGCTGCGATTCTTTGCAATTCTAACAAGCTTTTCAAATTAGTATTCGGATGTCAACCAGAGTAAGCTCATTAAAGACAAGAAGAAGAACATCGAGGGCAAGGTCAGCAAGAGGACCTTCGAGGCCTTAATGAACATGAAGTACATGAAGTCTATCATTGACCCCGGTGAGGCGGTCGGAATTATGGCCGGTCAATCCGTCGGAGAACCGTCCACACAGATGACTCTCAACACCTTCCATTTGGCTGGTCACTCGGCAAAGAACGTCACACTGGGTATTCCCCGTCTTCGTGAAATTGTTATGACAGCAAGTGCCAAGATTATGACGCCTACGATGACTCTTCTTTTGAACGAGGAGATTTCCAAAGAGGACTCGGAGAAATTCGCCAAGGCTATCAGCAAACTGAGCATTGCTGAACTTGTTGACAAGGTGCAAGTCAAGGAACGCATTGGCTCGGGCATTGGCTACGCTAAGGCTAAAATCTACGACATCGAGATCGACTTCTTCCCGTCTGAAGAATACACCAAGGAATACGCCATTGAGACCAAGGATGTCTTGATTGCTCTGCAATCTAAGCTCATCCCTCGGTTGGTGAGACTCACCAAGGCCGAGCTCAAGAAGCGCAACGAAGAGAAGAAGGGCGTCAAGGGCACAACTTCTCAGCCTGAAATCGGTGTTTCAGTCGGTAAAATCGCGGAGGCACCCAGAGGCGCCGACACCGAAGCCCAACCAGCCGACGACGACAATGAAGATGATGAGGATGATGCCAAGCGGGCCGCCGGAGCTCAGAACAGGGGCCACCAGGTCTCCTACGAAGGACCCGACGCCGCCGAGCAGGATATCATCAGACGCCAAGACACCCCCGACGAAGACGAAGATGACGAAAATGAAAGCAGCAAGCCTGCCAAGGCCACTCGCGACGTGCGCATGAAGGACGGCTCCGACTCCGATTCCGAGGATGAGTCTGATGACGAGACCGCCCAAGACAGCAAGGCGCGCGAGGAGGATGTGATAGGCAAATTCGAGGAGATTACAAAGTTCAAGTTCGACCCGAAGAAGGGCAACTCGTGCTCCATCCAACTGCAGTACGACGTTGAGACACCCAAGCTTCTCCTCCTTCCCCTGGTTGAGAAGGTTCTCCACCTCGCCGTCATTCAGTGCATCCCCGGCATGGGCAACTGTGTCTTCGTCCCGGCC